TGCCCCCACAGACGAACAACGTGGCGAGCAATTCCTACGCCTATCGTGGCTACCACGAGACAGCATGGATCATCAACAGGTTCGCCCATGTTGCTCGAAAGCACCAAATGCCCGAAGTCTGTATCAACCAGCTCAGCCGGATTTACACCCTACCGAACATTGAAATCCAAGAGGCTTTCCTGAAGCTGCGAGAACAGGCAAAGTGTCATTATCAAAATCCCAAGGAACTCAACAGTGGGTTGGATGTAATCAACAACACAAATCTCAACTACTTCGGCGCACAACAGAAGGCAGAGTTCTACACCCTCAAAGGCATGTTCCTGGCCAAGCTCAACCATGTCAATGAGGCCAATGAGGCATTTGGAGTCGCTTTGTACTACGACTTGAGACTCGCAAAGGCCTGGTCTGAATGGGGTCAGTACAGTGATCAACGCTTCAAGGCCGATCCATCAGACTATGAACTGGCTAGCAATGCGGTTAGCTGTTACCTTGAGGCTGCCGGCCTTTACAAGAATGCGAAGTCTAGAAAACTTCTCAGCCGGATTCTCTGGCTTCTCAGCTTGGACAATGAAGAGGGACGAATTGCTGGAGCCTTCGAGAACTTCAAGGGAGACACCCCTGTTTGGTACTGGATTACCTTCATACCGCAGCTTCTTACGAGCCTGTCACATCGCGAAGCACGCCTTTGCAAGGCAGTCTTGGTGAAGATAGCGAAGTTGTACCCTCAGGCGCTCTTCTTCCTGCTCCGTACGAACCGGGAAGACATGCTCAGTATCAAGAAACAGCATGACCAGAAGCAGGAGAAGTTGAATCGTGCTAGGCAGCAGCAGGCCTCGCCCCACACCAAGCCCTCTCCAGCGACGGCCGACAGTTCTCCTGCACAGGGTAATCAACCTGCTAATACAAATACTCCTGCTCAGGGTCAGACTAGCCAACCATCTCAAGGTCAAGCCCAAGGCCAGCAACAAGGTTTGCCCCAAGGCCAGAGTCCAGGTCAGGGCCAGATCAAGGCCCAGCAACAATCACCCTCTCAAGGCCAACCTCAGCCCCAAGGACAAGGTCAACCCTCTGGTGCAGCTCCTGGACAACCCCAAGGTTCAGGGCAAGGACAAATGCAGCAACCTCAGAATCAACAACAGGCTCATTTGCAAGTGCCTGGGCAGAACGGCGTGCCGCAGCAGGCCCAGGCTGCTGCCACCGAGCCAGAAAAGGAGCCTCTTAAGAAACCCTGGGAGTATTCAGACGAAATCATGTCCGGCCTGAAGACTGCCTTCCCCTTGCTTGCACTGTCGATGGAGACAATGGTAGACCAGATTCACAAGAACTTCAAGTGCCCCCCTGACGAGGATGCCTATCGTCTCATTGTCGCCCTGCTTAACGATGGATTGGCCTACGTGGGTCGCATGCCCGGTTCATACGCCCAGGACTTTAAATTACCTGCCGCCACCGAAGCCAATATCACACGCTTCGCAGAAACGATTCTCCCCGCACATATTCGCAAGTCATTCGAAGCCGATTTCGTCGTCAAGAAGCCAACCATGTACGAATACATCCATAAGCTGCGTCGCTGGCGTGACAAGTTCGAGGAGAAGCTGGATCGCCGCGGCCAGTACCAATTTTTGGAGACGTATTCGCCGCATCTGAGCGAGTTCCGCTTCTTGAAATTTGATGAAGTAGAGGTGCCGGGACAATATCTGCTGCACAAGGACAAGAACCAGGATTTCGTGCGCATCGACAGGTTCCTGCCAGATATTGATCTTGTCCGGGGTATTGGCGTTTGCCATCGTCGGCTCAAGATTCGTGGCCATGACGGTAGCGTGCATCCGTTCGCTGTTCAACATCCCGCAGCTCGGCACTGTAGACGAGAAGAGCGCATCCTGCAGCTCTTCCGTATCTTCAACGGGCTTCTTGGCAAACGCAAGGAAAGCCGGCGCCGTAACCTTTATTTCCATCTCCCGCTTATGGTTCCCCTCGCGCCGCACATTCGCTTGGTACGCGATGATCCTTCATACATTTCTATGCAGGGCATATTCGAGGACTATTGCCGCCGAGTGGGAACCAGCAAGGATGAACCTGTTCTGTTTACTATGGAGAAAATGCGGTCATTGGCAGAGACGAAGCAAAATGTACGTCAAACATATTGTTTAATGGTGGAACGAGCTAACATATCCCAGCGCACCCCTGACCAGCAGCAGGTTCTTCGGACGGAGATTCTCACGGCCATTCAGGAGAAATGGGTGCCCAGTACGATTGTGAAGGACTACTTCCAGAAGACGTATCCCAACTTTGCAAATTTCTGGCTGTTCCGTCGCCAATTCTCCTATCAATACGCGGCTATCGCATTTATGACCTATGTGATGCATATGGGCAACCGGTATCCCAACAAGATAATGATCTCCAGATCTACAGGTGACATCTGGGGCACGGAGCTGATACCAGCGATTAACCCTGCAAAGGCTTTCTTCTACAACCCGGAACAGGTGCCGTTCCGTTTTACGCCTAATATCCAGACACTGATGGGACCAATCGCAACTGAAGGTCTCTTCGCTTGCGCTTTGATGGCGATCGCCCGCTGCCTCACCGAACCGCGGCATGAGCTCGAGCAGCAACTGAGCATCTTCGTCCGTGACGAGATGATGTTCTGGGCCACAGCGCAACATCGCGGTGTACTTCCAGTGCAACAGCTTCGTGACCTGGTGTACAACAACAGTGATATCATTGTCAACCGGGCTGTTAGCCTGGCCAGCCCGCCAGAGGGCAATTTGCCCGCCAACCAAACCACCATCGACCTGATCTCCAAGGCAGTGAATCCTCAGCACCTGGCATCTTGTGATGCACTCTGGATGCCGTACCTCTAGTCGTACGTCGACTGGTTTCTGCTTCGTCCATGTTCTATCGTGTACTCTTCACCTGGCGTTTGTTTGACTCGGTTCAAGGGGATGGCATCTGGTTCGCGGAGGAGGTCTCAGGAATTTGGGAAAAGTTGAAGGGCATACTTGGACTTGGATTTTCTACTAGTTTTTATTCTAGCGTGGCGCCCTGGGACACATTTGATTACTTGAGGATATGCTTATGATATCACATTCCGTTTTCGCACGTTTGTCTGCAGTTCTTTCCAGTGTTTGAACTTTACAGGGCACTGCATTGGCAGCCACTTTTTCTTAATGTGTTTCGAAATAGGTTCAATTGAAATAGATGTATCATAATTGGTATCTACAAGTTATTGTGCGGAGGATCCCCTGATATGCATAGCCGTAAACGGAAACGCCAAATACCTGCAACCTTCATCTGCCCCTCACAAAAATCGGCGTATATATACAGTTATATCAGAGACGGCTTGGGCTTCTTTTTGATGCCTAAACCATTGATCAGAGGCTTCTTGGGCTTCTTAACCCTAGCGAATGAGGGCGGAGGTGGTGTGTCAGTCTGACTCGAGCTCGGAGTCGTCCCACTGATTGTATCCTCTTCCACAAGTCTCTTCACTTTCTCCCCCGTCTCCGTCGTGAATGCCCTGCGGGCAGCCTCCTCGATTTCCTTCTCCTCCCTCAACCGCGCCTCATCCACCTCATTCCGAACATGAGTCAACGCCACATCGCCACTGAGCGCCTCATTTCGTTCGATCCGCGCATTTCGCGTCCGGATCTCATCCAGGGCATCAGCGATCGCCATCTCCCGCTTCGAATCGAGCATCTTCTCCTCCAACTCGGCCATCTTATCCCGCTCCAACCGCTCCTGCTCCTCGTTCTCCTCGCGCTCCAGCCGGTCCAGCGTCTCCTGTTCCGTCTCCTCGATATCGTTCTTGGCATCCCGCCATGGCTCGAAGTTGCGCTTTGCGCCCTTTTCCGCCTTGTAGTCCATTGCCTTGGGGTCCGTCAGGAAGGTGATCTCGCCGCTGCAGCGCGTGCAGCGGATGTAGAAGCGGTAGATGGGGATGTTGAGGTATTTCTGGTCGGTGGTTTCTTTGCGCGCGTTGAACTTGCGACCCTTGTAGATGTATTCGCCTGTACGGGTTAGTATGGGCTGACTGTATGGGTGAGCACGGAGAGGAGGACGTACCGCAGTGAGTGCATTTCATAGAGAAAGGCGCCATGAGACGCACGGTTATGACCTTGGGACCCGTCTGTCTCAGGTGCTTTGGCGTCCTGCCAATCGCCGACGGGTCGAAGTCGGGAGGGTAGTATTTGCTGCGCGATGTTAGATGGTTTCTGGGTTCATTTTGGGATGTGGGTTAGACGTACCTGAGCACTTTTCGTTCGGACATGGTTGCGCTGTGGTGCTAGTCTGATTATCGCGACTGCGTAGGAAAGATATTTGTAAGTGAGACTGTCGAAGAGCCTCAGACAGAAGGTAAGGTGGCTGATCAGCAGATGCTGGCTTGAATGTTCAAGTTAGTGTGAGAGATAAATGCTGGAGGCGACAAGGCGGCGATAAGGCATGCACAAGTCACATGATATTATTAATCATCAATGAGCATAAAGAATATTGTACATGTACATTGTCTGCCTAGAGTTCCAGAGGAAGCAGACATGGAGAAAGTGCAGTCATACTTTATTCATAAGTCTAGAGATTCTCCATTGTTATATTGATCGATTCATAGCTAGAGTGGTACCATGCGCACTCTATACTATCTTAAACTGAAGAAAGTGTTAAGGATACAGATTACCCGATCAGGCAGGATGCACGGGCCATTTTGACGCGTTTGGATCAACAGAAGATCATCGATGATGGTAATGCACAAAGATTGCTCCAGCAGCCAGCACTGCAAATTGTTCCTGCTTTCTCCCATTAGAAGATAGTTGGAGCGCAAGCGAATACCCATCACGAATTGCAGACACTTGTCTGTGTCTCGAAATCAAGTTGCCCGATTCCACAGTGTTGGCCACTGTCTCCACCAATACAACTGAACACTCTTGCTCACCCTCAATGTGCTTTTGCCCTTGCGGTGGTTCTCGGTACTCTCGTGTCGCGATTGACTCTTGCTCTACGATCGGTGCTTGGTCATGGAAAAGTTCCTGCGCTCCTGGCGCCAGGATGCGCTGAATCGAGGCCAACACGATGCTGCCATTTACATCGGCGACAAAGTGCTCGCATTGACGAGTGAGTCGACTTGAACTGATTCTTGGAAGAGTAATAAGCTAATGTGCTCTCAAGACAGCGACTCCGATGCTTTCTGGCTCGCCCAAGTCCATTTCTCTAACAACAACTACACGCGCGCCTTGGCCCTCCTGTCTCGAAAAGATCTCATCTCTCGAAGTACCGCTTGCCGCTATCTCGCCGGCCATTGCTATATAAAACAGAATCAGTTTGAACAGGCCTTGTCAGTGCTCGGCGACCATAACCCGACTCATTTGATCCGCAGCAGCAACAGCCGTCGCAAGCTGCAGCACCTCACTTTGCGCAACGGCAAGACTACAGCATCGCGGATTGACCGCAATGAGGAGAGGGAAAGGGAGGATGCGAATAACATTCGGTTTGAGGCGGCGATGTGCTACCTGCGAGGACTCTGCTTTGCGAAGCAGAATGCCTTTGATCGCGCCCGTGACTGTTACAAAGACGCTGTGCGCATTGACGTGCAGTGCTTTGAGGCTTTTGACCAGTTGATGAAGAACTCGCTCATGTCGCCGGCTGAAGAGCTCGAGTTTCTGGAATCCTTAGACTTTGATGCGGTATCCTCGCCCGATCCGTCTGTCGCACAGGAAGCGGCTCATTTCACCAAGATGCTCTACACAACCCGACTGTCGAAGTACTCGTCGCCTGCCATCCTGTCCGACGCGACCGAGACCCTGTCCACGCACTACAACCTTGCAGAGAACCCTGATATTCTTCTTTCTCGGGCTGAAGCTCTTTACACCCAGTGCCGGTTTGCGGAGGCGCTTGAGCTGACATCTTCGATCTTGGCCACGGAGGCGAGCACCACACCCAATGTACCGGCTCTAAGTCACCTCGGGCATCCTCCAGCGGTTTACCCTTTGCATCTGGCCTGCCTATACGAAACAGGTGCGACAAATGCGCTCTTCCTACTCGCTCACACGCTGGCCGACCATGCGCCAGAGGAGTCGTACACGTACCTTGCGATTGGCGTCTACTATCTGTCTGTGTCGAAGATTGCCGAAGCACGGCGGTTCTTCTCGAAAGCATCCTTGCTGGATCCGCACTCTGCACCCGCGTGGATTGGGTTTGCACATACTTTTGCGGCTGAAGGAGAGCATGATCAAGCTATAGCCGCATACAGCACGGCCGCTCGGCTGTTCCAAGGCAGCCACTTACCGCAGCTGTTCCTTGGTATGCAGCATTTGGCTCTGAATAACATGTCCTTGGCCCATGAGTACCTGTCTGCCGCCTACGCAATGTCCACGGGTGCGGCTGCCGGCACAGTGCCATCCATTCCCGCTAACCCTTCCGGCGACGCCCATGGCGGTGACCCACTGGTTCTCAACGAACTCGGTGTGGTACTCTATCACCAGAACCATCTCGAGGGTGCTGTAGAGCTATTTAATCAATCGCTGGCTTTAGCGACGGCACTTCATTGTGAGCCGGGTGCCTGGGTGGCTACACGGGCGAATTTGGGTCACGCACTGCGCCGTATCGGACGACTAGCCGAGGCGCTTGCTGAGTTCGACGAATGCCTTCGGATCGGTGCGGGCGGGGCAGGCGTCGCCTACGGTCCATTTTTGGGCGGCACTGGCAGCAGCGCCTCGGGTGTCGCGTCGTCGGGTGTTGGGGGCTACGAAGACCGTGGCTTGATCGGATCACTTCATACATCGCGTGGCCTTGTGCTGCTGGAACTTGGACGGACCATGGAGGCGGTAACAGCTCTTCATGAAGCCGTTCGCGTCCTTGGGGCCAGCGGAGGCGGGGATGCGGCTGGCGGCGCGGGTATCGCTGGCACTCTTCTCTCCCGTGCTTTGGAGATCTGGGCTCTGGAGGGTCATGAGGGGGAGTCTGCACCACCAGAGGATTTTGAGCGAGTGACCACCAGCCGCAGTTCGACTCGTTCGCGCGACAAGGGCAAGGGAAAGGCATCAAGACGGCGTGGCATGACGGAGGAAGAATGGACGGATGAAGTCCCTCAAGCTAGTGTCCCGACCACGGGCCCTGCAACGGAGACATTGGAACAAAAGGTGGAGATGGAGCTCGATGACGAGGCAGATGGGCTACTACGACATGCAATGAGTCGGGTTCGCGGCGGGCGAGGAAGACGACGACTTGATTTCAGCCCCGACACTGAGGCCACTGAGACCCCTGGGCCGGCTGGAGCTCGTAGTCGAGGGTCCAGGGCCCGTTCGTGATCATGCGTGACCATGATTGATAGATGGTGGGGTGTGTTTGGGTGCATTGCAACTGGGCGTTTTGATGGATATACCCAAGGTTTCCTTTTGGTTCCATTGGTCATTAGATTGCTTGATGGAGATTGACGCGACATTCCTATTTTCCATTTTCTGTAGTGCTGGTTGTACATGCCAGCTTCTCTATCTTGGTATCTTCTCTCACTAGGATTACCATCAAATTACCATCACCAATAGAGTCATGTCCGCAGTGGTGTCATCGAGACCATCTATATCGGCCAGCGTCACTCCTTTACTGGACTTTGAAGTCTAGGCCTGAGATACGTACATTTCCACATTCCTCGTATCACGCCTGTTAGGCATCAGGATCCTAGGGTGTATTTTTGGATAGGCTCCTTTTAGTCTGATATACTCCGTAGACGGAACGAGCCGCCGCATTATTGTTTCAGCTTCAGCCTCTCGGGCACTTTTCCTCTGCCTCTTTTACCTACAATCTAGAGAGGTATTGCTGTGAATTAACACAACAATAATAGAGGAACTATCTCAGATAAAAATTATAGGCTAATCCTTTGATAAGAGTTCTAAGACGCTTGATGTAGTTCAAGATTTTGTAGACTGACAGGCACCAGCCTTACTGTCACCCGCAAATTGCGATCACCGCAGGATCAACGGACTGACTCCACCGCAGCTTGGCTACTCTACGTGTCTCAGTTTAGACGAAATCAGTTATCAATGAAGACTATGATGGTATGGTATTTCACAAGCCATTATTCATTGTCTGTTTGGAGCTAACATGATCAATTTGTAGTCTGCACACAGCCTCTTCAGTGTTCAAACGAAGAGCCTTGTCTTTTCTGCAAGTTGGATCCAACAGAGAGAAACGAGTCCAACAACTCCACCGCCACGACGTTTGATTGTGGACACTAACTTTGGGCGTTTACGTACGCACCTTGTTCACTTTAGGCCCCTGTGCGATGCTCTGAATGGTCGAGAATCAAATAACATTTTGGATGGATGGAGTCGACCGTCGTCCATTCAACCACTGAGAGCCATAACCAGCAACAGATGACCCACGAAAGCTTGTCCATCAGTGCTCTCATGGAAAGATTTACTGTGCCTGCGGTGGCTGTTTCATAATCGAATTTCAGACCCCTAAGGGGCCAAGAGGCCAAAGCGAGGCGTCAGGGTCTCCATCTCTCCATTGAGGCTGCGTTGTGAGACCCATAGGGCCAACATAGTGGCAATGGCCTTCGCTAATAATTCTAAGCTACGGTTCTAGCATGGGGCCAAAATCCCCTTTTGTTAGCCCCAAAGGCGGCGCCCCAGACAGAAACTCCCAGCGAGCCTGGTGCTGCCTCTTTCCTCATTTGAGAACCTCTTTCCCCTCGCTTTCCGTCCTCTTCTGCCTGCTGCGATTGTGACTTGCAACTGGCGACCCCCCGAACCTACAATGAAACCCGCCCTCTGAATTGAATCGTCCGTCCTGCTCCCATCGGCGATGGTGCTCCCGAGTTGTTCTCTGCTGCGTCCGCGGCAGGGGGTTCTCCTCTGCTTGTTTTACGTCATCGGTGCTCTGAGCGTGGGCTTTATTGTAGCCATGTGGTACGGCATGAATACAGACAGAGATTATATACACCCGCTCCTCACGCAATTGATCCCTGCCGGTCACTGCGCCTGCGAGACCTCGACCGCCTTCCAATGCGCGAGCTGTCTGTCGTGCTCCAAACCCAGCCTGAGCACACACCTGACTCCATCAGCGAAATGGGTATTCGAGTACGAGCGGGATGGGAACAATGAGGGCCTCAGTCGGCAGCAGTGCGATGCTGCCTTTCCCGGTCTGTACGAAGATGTCTTTCGCGCGGTGACTTACTGGCGCTCGCACGGCGCACTCGCTGCAGAGGATCTCGATCGGATTAGACTGGAGCCCGGCATGGCAAGAGCGGCCATTCTCCGCGGGGAGCTGTACGTGGTCGCGGCCCGATCAAAGGGCGAGGACCACCGACGAAAGATCCTGGCCGTGCTCAGTGCTATTCATCGTGCGCTGGTCGCCGATTCCCTACGGAGTACCCGTCGCGACATCGAGTTCGTCTTCTCGGTGGAGGATAAGGTGGAAGATGTGACTAGCGCTGAGCATCCGGTTTGGGCCCTGGCTCGCGCGGCAAACGAGGAGGCGGTTTGGCTGATGCCTGACTTTGGCTACTGGGCCTGGGACAATCCAGATAATGCGATCGGACCGTTTGACCAAGTGGTCGCGAGAATCCAGCGGGCCGATATTCCGTGGGAAGCGAAGAAGCAGCAGTTGGTTTGGCGTGGTAAGCCGAGTTTTGCACCCAAGCTGCGACGGGCCTTGATCGAAGCCGCGCGCGACCAGCCGTGGGGCGATGTCAAGCAAGTCAGCTGGCCGGATCGGACCAATGTTCTCAGTATGGAGGATCACTGCCAGTATATGTTTATCGCGCACGTAGAGGGTAAGTCTTCCGAATTCCTCTTTTCGTCTGGATGATACTGATTACTGCTCCAGGTCGCTCATACTCGGCTTCCCTGAAATACCGCCAGGCCTGCAAGTCCGTCATCGTGGCACATAAGCTACAATACATACAGCATCATCATTATCTCCTTGCAGCCGATGGACCGAACCAGAACTACGTGGAAGTGGAGCGCGATTTTAGCGATTTGGCCGCCAAACTGGAGCCGCTCATGCGGGACACCAGCGTCGCGCACCACATTGCCAACAATAGCGTCAAGACATTTCGCGAACGATACCTGACCAAAGCCGCGGAGGCATGCTATTGGCGTCATCTCTTCGACGGGTACGAGAGCGTGTGGAACAGCACCATCCCGAAGGGCTCCGACCCGCACCGGGCTGAACGAGGTCTGCGATACGAATCGTTTGCGTTGTTGGAGAGTCAGCGAATGTTTGACTTTACCGCTGCCGACTCATTTTGACCATTTTGGTTCTTTGGATACTGAAGTGCTTAGCGAGCTGGGCAACATAGCAAGACGGAGTTTTGGCGTATGACAATGACCACTGATTGTATTAGAGCCATTTTCTTTCTCTCGATGATACCAAATAGATTCTTTCTCGCCTATTTTCTTTTCTTGCAGACAACAGGAGAATGGAGATGTCTGTCGCGGAGGGCACGCTAAATATGCACCTGAGGCATTACTTGGTAGACTAGTAACACGTAGCGGCAGTCCGTTCCTTCATTGACCCTTTATCTTCAACAGAACCGTGGTTAATTCATCAAGTCATCGCTGTCAAAGTGTCAATCTCGTGGGATATAATCTTGATCTCCATTTTTGATAAAGTCATACCTCTAAGCTGACAGCCCAGCCACCCGACTTTCCCCTTGCTTCTCCTCGTTGTCTTCTTCGATGTCACTTTGTCAAACACACCAGTCCGCTATGACAATCCGTCCATTCTGAATGGCTGCTCCAAAAGCGAGGAGCGAGCGCCCGTGACGAACCATGATCCGTGCAGCAGACGAGTCCCTCCAGTAGGAGTCTCGGAGAGGACTTGGTGGAGTCTCCAAGGGCACCAAAAGCGGCAGAGCCCTCCCACTATCGAAGGATCATCGCGATCCAGATCTGCATTCACAGCTGAAAGACCAATCATCGCCAGGATTGTGATGCAGCTATGCAGGGTGAGCTCAGCTGGGGATGTGTTACACAAACAAGCTAGCAGGTGCAAAGGAATCTGCCGTCATAGGCCTTTGGGGGAAGTGTAGTGGATTTAAGTCGCAGTATCCCCTTCCTGCGTGGTCAGTTTCCTTTCAGCTTTGTTTGGGAATTGTTCTTGTTTGAGTGATACACCTGACGACAATATGCCGACTCCGATTCCTCACCCCTCAGGTCTTCCGATCCTGGGAAATTTGTTTTCTATTAGCCCTGGCAATACTTGGGGTTCTTTCAATAAACTAGCGGTGAATAATAAGAACTTTTGTGTGTTTCCCGCGTATTTACCGGTTGCCAGTTGGCAGCAATCACCACGAATACTACTAACACTATTCTTCAACAGACCCAATTTTCAAAATCACTATTCTTGGCCACGACATTGTCTTCATCACCAGCGCAAAACTGCTTGAGGAGATCTGCGATGAGAAACGGTTTCGCAAATGTGTGACCGGCCCCATTGAGGAGATCCGCGAGGCAGTCCATGACAGTCTGTTTACTGCGTACCACGATGAGGAAAGCTGGGGTATTGCCCACCGGATCATGGCCCCTTTGATGACCCCAGAGGCCGTGATCGACGCTTTTGCTGGAATGCGCGAGACCGCCAAAGATCTGGTTAAGAAATGGACTGCGGGCCCCCGGCAACGAATCAACGTCAGCAATGATATGGACCGTCTGAACCATGCCGCCAACATGCTCTGCTTCTTTGACCAGCGGATCCACTGTCTCGAGGGGCCAGAGCCTTCGGTCCTCCAGGCCATGGAGGCTGCTACGTTCGAAGCCCTGCGTCGCCCTACCCGCCCCAAGCTCTTGAAATGGCTCATCTACCAGCGTCGCTTCGACAGCTACATCAAGACCATGCGCGACTACGCCGCCGAGATCGTCGCTAAGCGTCGCGCTGCTTCGACCGAGAAGAAGGACATGCTTCATGCCATTATGCACGGCACGGATCCCCAGACCGGCAAAGCCCTCACGGAGAGCCAGCACCTGGACGAAATCATCAACATCTTCATTGGAAGCGCTACGGCCGCCAACCTCGTCTCCTTCGCGTTGTATTATCTCATGAAGAACCCGCACGAAATCGCCCGCGCCCGCGAGGAGATCGATGCGGTGGTCGGCGGCCCCACCGCCCAGCTCGAGCATGAGCATCTCGCCCGCCTGCCTTACTGCGAAGCCATCCTGCGTGAATCGCTGCGTCTGTCGGCTACCGCGCCGGGCTTCAATATCGAGCCCATTCCAGATCTGGAGCAGCCCGTCCTCCTCGCAGGCGGCGAGCACCAGGTCCCCAACAAGCAGCCGCTCATTGCACTGCTGGCGGCCGTCAACCGCGACCCGGAGGTCTTCGATGATCCGGATGCGTTCAAGCCCGAGCGCATGGTCGGCGAGAAGTACGACCGGCTTCCGTCCGGTGTGAAGAAGGGTTTCGGCAACGGCAAGCGTGAGTGCTTTGGCAAGCGCTACGCCTGGGAATGGTCGTTTATGATCCTAGTCACGATCATGAAGGACGTGGACTTTGTGTTGGCGGATAAGAACTACAAGACGGAAGTTGGAGGAGTCAATTACAACGGAGCGTTCAGCACCAAGCCGTTGGGGCTGTTTGCGTTGACGTCACCTCGACAGAGCGTGTGATGAGAGGTAAATTGATGCGTTACGATACCATGGTTTCAGCTAGCAGTATGCGGATGTTTGTATATCATCTTATCTTTTACCTAATCTATGCTTTCACCTGAATCCTTATGTCTATCAGCTCCTTTGCTGCGTCTCACTCTCTTTGACCTCACTCAGAATCACGCGGCATCCCAAAGGCGCCAGAATCCCGCCCTGTCATGCATCAGTACTTTGCCTCTTTGTCTTGCGCCGATTCAAGAGACTTACCGGCGTCATCTTCAACCGATACCCCGGATCCACCGTCCACTCGATCCGTCTCAGCACCTCAAACAACAGAATCTTCATCTGCAGCAACACAAATCCCTGCCCGAGGCACTTCCTGGAATGCGCATTGAAGGGGATATACGTGCCGCGCACCGTCTCCCGGCGGAACCGCGCATGCATCTCACCCACCGTGCGCCCCCATCGCTCCGGCTTGAATTCGTTTGCGTCCGGGCCCCAGATCGCCGGGTTGACGTGCACCCCGTATGCATTCCAGCCCACAAACGTGCCTGCCGGAATCGGGATCTCGTTACCGAGCATCGCCGGGCGGACCGTGACGCGGTTGATGAGCTGTGACACGGGGGGGTAGAGGCGGAGAAGCTCGTAGACGACGGCTGTGAGATAGGGCAGGGCGTTGACGACTTCGGATGTTGGAGTGGCAGTGTTTGTCGAGAGGATCTCGCCGCGGAGGCGGGTCTGGACTTCCTTCAATCATATTACCAGGTCAGCTGCAGTTGAGCAAGTGAAGGTGAAGGGGAGGGCTACAGTATTCTTCCCAATCTCCCAAAACATCGAGTTAACCAGCTGCTGCGCGTTCTCGTGCGCCGTCAGAAACACAATCTTGAGATTATCCTTGAACTGCTTCTCGGTGAGTCTGCCGTCGCGGTAGGCGTCGACCAGCATATGCACGACCATCTCCTCGGCGGGCTTGATGCCCTTCTCGCGGTCGCTGTCGATATGCCCCAACACCGCCGCCATGAGTGTATCTCCGAACTCGTGCATGATCTCGTACGCGCGCTGCCGCGACTTGATCAGCCACGCGAACTGGTCCAGATCGGGAAAATTGAAGAACAGTGGCCGGAACAGCATCAGCTTGATCACGGACTGGATGGCCTCGAGGCGCACCGCGCCATGCGGCTTCTCCAGGCTCCGCAGGTCCAGATCCAAAAAGCTCATTCCCATGACATCCACCGCCCACTGCTGGACGTACGTGTTCACGAGAATGCCCGTGCCACGACCGGCGGCGTCCTGCTCGGCGAGAATCTCATCCACGAACCGGCGCGACTTGAGCAGCAGCGGCGCGGTGTCGAAGTTCTTCTTCTGCAGCCCGGGCTTCATGATCCCCGTGTACAGCTTCCAGGTGTCGCCGTGTGAGTTGATGATGTTGTCGCCGACCAGCGTCGCGATCACCGACCAAGGGATCTTCTTCTGGCTTCCTGCTTTTGCGTACAGGTCCTCGTTGCGGAACATGTCTGTTAGCAGGTCCGGGCGGGTGACGAGGATGCTCCATCGGCCGGCGAACCAGATGAGGACGGCGCCGTGGGCTTCGAGGGGTTTGCGCAGCCAGCGCTCGTAGATCTCGTCTTGGCCCATTGAGCTCCAGAGGCCGAGGATGGAGACGTAGAAGGGGATTCGGGGGAGTGAGGGCAGGTCCCACGGGACGTGGAGGTACCATGCCAGGTAGAGGATGAGGGTGAGGGGAATTGAGGCGAGGTAGTAGAGTATCATCTTTGCTTTGATGTCCTTGATGTCTTTGATTTCTGTCTGTAAAGGCTAGTGGATAGATGGGTGGTGGCGGTCCTCTGTCTCTTGTATGCACGATTTTTGGCAAAACGCATTCTCGCATACAAATCATGACCTAAGACTCGTCTGGCTGATCGTACTCGGTGATGAGTGTAGTAGCGTATGCATCCCAAGTCAGCAAATCCGAGCTGATGTCATCTCAAAAACTACCTAAACATATATGACCTCGAAACTGACGAACTGACGAACAGCAAGCACTAAGGACATCATCTCTTGACCGTAACCAAATCCAAGTCTAGCACAATGGCCACCGAAGCTCTACACATGCACAAAGACCGTCTCTCAGCAGAGGACCTCGATCTCAAAGATCCCCACGGTATTCTAGCCTCCATCCTACCTCTACATACGGAACCTACTGAATGAAAGGAAACAGTCTCCTCAAGCCTCGCCCTCTTCGCCATCCACAACGTCATCCGCCGCAACCTCAAAGCCTGCGCAGAGCACGCAACCACAGTCCAACCAGCAAACATCGACGCCTTCACCACCTATGCAAAGTACACCCTGCACGTCCTTCGCGACCAACTCACCTCCATCGACGAGATCTGGTTCCCCGTGTTCGCAGAACACGATGCCCGCTTCCTAGCTCAGAAGGACGCACACGATGTCCTGTATCAGCGTATCACCGCGCTGGAGGCGCAGCTAGCCACTGCCGCCGAGCATAATGAGCTCCTCTCTACGGAAATAGCAGCAGCCTTCGCAGACCTGCACGAACTAACTGACAAGCAGTACGATCTCGAAGAGGACCTCGTCAACCAGCTAGGCCGCAAGGTGCCGATTGAGACTATTCGTGGTCTGGAGAAGAAGCAGGAGGAGAGAAGGAGGGCTGATGTCAAGGTCTATGGGCATTTGTGGACGGCTGTGTATCTTCTTCGGGGCCTGGAGCCGAAGGAGAGGGCGATTTTCCCGCCGGGGATTCCGAAGTTGATTGTTGGTGGGATGTTGACGGCTGGGGCGATGCAGTTTCGGAGGTGAGTTTACTTCTCTAGTGTGTGCGTGTGGTTGTGTATTGGGGGTGTAGCTGATGTACCTGACTGGTTTGGTAGGGAGCTGCAGTTTACGCCGAGATTTTGAGGGGTTGAGTTGGTTGGGTCTGGAATGAGATTGGATTGAGGATGTTGGATGATTGTTACTGTTAACTCGATAGGGTGCGCTTAGCTATGTCATTCATCGATGAATTCATCATTTTATTGTGTCAGCAGAGTACGAATTGCGACCAATGCTGACTGTACCTGGTCCATTGTGTCAGCGCGGTGTATACGGACGCCACCTTGTATGCGAGTGCATGATTTATACTAAGCAATCCATGTCAGCCGCAGGCGTAATTGCAACGGGGCTGACAATGACGATAGTAGCCAAATATAGCGGAGTCAAGATGACTGCTATGACTATACTTGCAGATACTCTGTGGATAGCCAATATGCCTCCAGCCTCCAGAGCATATAAGACAGTTAACTTAGGTTCTTACTCCTTCAATAGAAAGCCGGTAGCCAGGATATCACTATCAGAAATTGTAACAATCGATAGTTCATCGTACGACGTGAACCCAACGCCATGTCCACACAGCAAGACCCCAAGTCCATCCGTACAAACGACCTGTACGAGCTCGCCGTCAACATCTCCAGCACGGTAGAAACCTTCATCGGAAGGCTGGACACAATCGGCGCCGAACGACCCAACCTAGACAACCCCTTTCCCGAGATCATCCAAGATGAAGGCGCGCAGCTGGCCCGGCTAAAGATCCTGCGCCTCTGCGAACGGCTCATGGCACTGGTCCAGGGTCCCGTTCAATGGCTCATGTTCCAGAATATGGCGTTCCTCGACGCCGCGTGCGTCGGTGCCGTTCTGGACATGGGAATTTACGACATCGTTGCTCCCGGGCCTGAACCGACGTCTCTCGATCAGATTGTAGAGGCGACGGGTGCTTCGAAGGATGTTCTGAGTATGCGACGCCCACGATCTAGCTTGTGAAGTCGAAGCTGACAACTCTCAGAGCGAATCATGCGTGTTTGCACGCAGAGATTGATTTTTGATGAGATTGCGCCGGAGCAGTTTATTCACAACGGAGTGTCCTTGCAGTTCCTTGCGCCTCCTGTGCAAGCGCTCATCAGTCATGCGTGAGTGGCGTGGTCCGTAAATTGAACGATTGAGCTGACACCGCTAGGTGTGACGATGGACTGCGCATGGCAGCGCATTTCACCGATTCTCTCAAGAAGACTGATTGGAAGGGAAGTGATGACCCAGAAAACACCGCCTTTAGCCTTGCTTTCAAAAGTGAGTATACCAGTATACCCCAACGTCATACGATTCGTGCTGATCCTCGTAGCAAACAAGGGCCTTTTCGACTACTTCTACACCGAGGATATCGCTCGCGGCCAGCGCTTTGCCCTCGGCATGGCAGGCAGCGAGATCATGAAGACCCTCACGGAGGATATGTTCCCCTTCGAGTCTCTTCCACAGGGGGCAAAGGTAGTGGACGTGGGAGGCGGCCGGGGCCATGTCAGTGTACGCATCGCAGAGAAGGCCCCTGGTCTGAACTTCGTCGTGCAAGACGATGTGTCTATGCTAGAAGCCGGTCAGGCAGAAGGTGTCCCCAAAGCGGTCAAAGATAGAATCGAGTTCATGCCGCATGATTTCTTCAATGAGCAGCCGGTCAAGGGGGCGGATGTGTATCTCTTGCGATTCATCCTGCATGATCATCCAGACAGGTTAGTCGACGCAAATATGAAAGAAGGGGTGTAGCTAACTGTCATAGTCGTTGTGCGAAGATCTTGTCGAATATCGTGGATGCAATGGAACCGGGAAAGTCGCGGATCCTCATTGACGATGCGATCGTTCCTAGCTTTTTGGGTCCGGAGAGTTCCCGGTTCTATAACCTGCTTGATCTCTACATGCTTGTTGCTCTGAATGGAAAGGAGAGAACTTTGGAGCAGTGGAACCATTTGTTCCAGATGGTCAGTCCCAAGTTGTTGTTGGAGAGGGTTTGGAAAACTCCAAACGGAGGGCCTGAATCGGGGACAATCCTAGAACTGCGACTGCAAGAGTGATTCTCCGCCATTTGTTTATTTGAGCCGAAGTTAGATTCAATACTTAGTTTCACAATGGATTGTCTCAGAAGGTTGGGTTATCCTTCCCACTGACTTTCAAACTGTAACAGTGTCGAGACCATCAGATATAGAAAGAGTTGCGATTGTTGCATTCATGCTTCAGTCATATATATACAAATCCCTCGCCCATGTAGCTAAGTCAATACTGATAGGAGGTCTGACTGAACAGATCACCAGTCTACGGAAGCCATTCGATCACAGCCCTTTCAGAAGGCTTGACGACAATGCAAACCCATACCAAACGGTTGCGACAAGGGAAATCGCATTCAGATGGATTGACATAGCATGATTGCGGGAAAATGCTTTGTTTGCCTGCTTGAGCTTCGCTGGATCCGTCGCAGTAGGGTTATCTTCATTCATGGCACTTTCTATTGCAAAGTCAGCTACCTGTAAGTGAGACTATGGATAATAGCCTACCGTGAAGCGCCCTCCTAATAAAAGCAGTCTTCGTGGTCCGGGGGCCAAAAACGAACCAATTCAGGGCCCCTGTGACACCCACCACAATTAAAGGAACAGAGTCCCAAATATGCTGCGAGAAAGAGAGTATGCTATAAGGCGGCCGAGTGACCGCAGTCAAAACGACCAATCCCACTTGACAGCGAAAATACGCTGGGAAGATGCGTTTCTGGAGAGCGAGAAACTCTTTCATGGGAAGGGCTTGGTAGCAGACTTTAGTGTTGACAAAGCTCTAAGAGGACGACGTGTCAATTCGAATTCATGATCGGGATGGACTCGAGGGAGTTCTGCGCCCTCACCTGAAAGAGTTCTGTCCCCAGAAGAGCTCCATATGAGAGGAGATGATACGGAAGCAGATTACTGACAGTCTCAAGGATCGCCTGCATGTTTTCTTGTAGTGTCAGAGTTTATAGTTATAATTAAAGTGACTGTTTAGAGCCTGGAAATAGTGTCGATTGATTCAGAAGAAAACAGTCACTCTTTAACGGTTAACAAAGAGGACGAAGAAGTCGAGACTTGAGGCTGTAAGAAAGTCAGGCCAGAAATAAGTAATTGGTGCCACAGGCAAATATGGCTGCCTTAAGGCCCCTGTAAGAACCTCTCCTTTGTCCTGTCATAACTCCTCCCTGCACCCTTCTCAGCATCAACTAGACACTCATCCTATCATCCATACTACTACTGCACTTGAATCCATCCCATACGTATCACTCAGCCTCTACAATTTACTTAGAACTTGTTACTAATGACCAAAGGATCGCAGAGTACGAGAAGTAGGGTGAGATACGATTCCAAGACACGCTCCTTCTTCTTCAGCTCTTGGCTTTTAGAGACATATTCGTATCAGCTTCTCATCATCAGCTGGTGACACGAGTGCCCCTCACACAGATTCGTGTTCCACTGCCAAGATCGATTGCAGTCTAGGCTGTTCAAGCCTCGACCGATTACTTGCATCTATGGTGGGCAGATCCCCGCCATCTTATCCAGCCTTACTATCGGAAAGCAACGGACTTCTCGGAGGAGAGGTCCTTCAGAGGCACTTCTTCAACAATATGGTTATGCTTCAAACCGTCTATTTCGGATTCCATCAAGCTACTGACGCGTCTCGCGTATTCAACTGACCAACGAACGAACACGAGGATGTTAGCTGACGGCAGATTGCCTGCTAGCTGCGCTAATTGGTTGATCTCTTTGAACACTGATGAATCCTGTCAGAAACTGTTGTAGGGCGTCCTGTTTGGGCTGTTCAAGGCCTCGTACTTTTTTGATAGTTCTCTCGACTGCGGCACTGTTGCCTGGCCGCGGCACGGATCTGGATTTTGCAGCTTGACCAATATTTTTTCGAGCCGAGCCTTGGGTATACGAGGTATTTTATGGGTTACCCTTGAGCCCATAGCCATATCCCAAAAACTCTCCAAGATGATGTCAGATTGAATGCTTTCACTCCGGCCACTCTCTGTGCAACACGATCAACCTTGGGAGAGAATCAGACTTTATGATACAAGTTCGTATTTACTGAGTGTTCCCTATCCTGCGAGCTGCAGGAGGCTTATTCTATGGTTTACCAGGGGTATCCTGTATGTCATACCGTCATGTGGACGCGTCTCAAGGATGCAGCGCTCTATGAAGACCTTGGGATCATTGACTTCTCGGACCACGCCGAGAAGGCCGCCATTTCGTCGGATCTGCGGCCTCGAGCCGGCCATATTGAAATGAGGAGACAAGATCTTCCCGACAATCTTCAAGAGTACAGACGAGGGAGGCTGGTCTGATGTTCATGCGCCACCACCAGCCTAGGTCGGAGCATCCGCGTTTTTAGACGTCGATACTTGCTGAGTTTACAATGGTTGAACGTCAGACCCCAAATCTATAGTCCCTATGGGGTACAATGCAACTGCACTAGTCGCGGCTGTGATATACGAAAATGGGACGACGTTGCATTGGCCAGAGAGAAACACGAACTCGCGTGGCCTCACGGGCCCTTGACTTCTTTAGCTCTGCAGTGCATTGCAGGCTGCCATTATCAGTAGCCTTGGCCGCTGATATTAATATGGTCAATATGATTCGTTCGTAAATGGATGAGGTAATGCCAAACCTCACCTGAACCGCCCCGTTTGCCATTGAGAGAACCTACCGAGCCAATGATCGCTCCTAACACTTTTGCATCAGTCAAGACCCAGGGGTGTCTTACTTCCAGGATGACTAGTGTTGACTTGTCGACTACATAGCCCCGGCTCGCATTGGAAACTTCATAGGTACGTTAATTAAAATATTTGTCAGGCAGCTATAAATGAATGCAGTAACGGCAGGGAAGTCCTTGATCCTTTTAATACAAACTTGGCGCGGCTGATCATCGCTGAGTGCTGAGGCTTCTTGCGTAATCCTCCTCATTCTGAGCAGCAGGTCTAGAGGGCGGCGCCTGTTCAACATAGGTGGGCCTGTATAGAAACCTCGTGGCTAATTACTGCCTCAAAACTTGCCTCATCGAAAGAAACGAAAGATACAAGGTCAAAAGGCCATTATCAGCGAGTGATGCATTCACAGACCACAAAGGACGAGCAGTCCAAAGATGACTCCTCGAACGAGAAGCAAGACGCTATTGAACGAAGGAGACTTCAAAATCGGCTATCCCAGAGGAATCATCGTCAGTGGAACATGTGTCTTGTTAATCCCATTCTCCTCATCCATTTACTCACCAGTCAATAGGCCGCAAGATCCGGGACAGGATCGCCAAACTTCAAGAACGTGTTATCGCTAGCGAGCTCAGAGCCGTTGCATCTTTGAATGGATGGGACCAAGCGAGTCCTTCAGCTGCGTCGATGATGGAATCCAAGCCGCAAGGTGACTTTGATAGTAGCCCGTTGGCTTCTGCTTCAGAAGATCCAGCAATCTCGAATGCCACCCAACGGAACGTCTCCTCGAGTCTTTGTCGTTCGTGCTGTAGCCTACTCAACCAGATGCCCGGTTCGTCCCCTTTGCCCTCCCCACCGTCACCTCTGCCGTTCGACCTTGGTCTCGCCGACGGGGTTGGCTCCGCCAACTCATCATCCTCTACTCTCTTGAACTCTTCTTCCTCATCGTCTCAGCTCAGTCCTTTCGGCTTAGACGCATCCTTAACCATGACGGGGCTTCACACTCCGAATGAATTCAACTACCCGCCATATCCTGACCCTCCAGGCTCCCAACAATATCCACACTGCCCTCACTACTATGTAGCGACAGGTGAGACCACTGTCCCAATATCAACTGATAACTGACTAACTACTTTGTCTTGCTTTAGAGGCTTCCCTACCGCATATTATGCAAACATTGGGTAGCGCAACCTCGCATCCCAAGGCCATCATCTTGATACCGCATGGACATGGATATTCCCCAACACCATTCACAGGAGCAAACGCGGCAGACTCCACAGGCCTCAGAAGCACGTTGAACGGAAATTTAAACCTGCAAAATCCAGGATGCCACTGCCTAAGACAAGACCGCAGTTCCAAATCCTCTGATCTAGGAACATCCGTAGAATGGATGAACGCGCCGTCTTCGACTCCGCTCTGTCCACTGCATCCTTCACAGTCGTCATCGTTGGACAGTTTTCAGTCCATGATGCTTTGAGTCATATATATTTTAACCCTGATTCTATGCTTCTTACGTATCTATGTTTATGTGATGTTATTCGTGAAAATTTGGACGGATGAGGTATGTAGTATAGACCACACATGGTGTGACAAGGCCCTGGCCCCTGATGACTGGATTGGAATGCTTACCACTTTCTTGTATGAATTTGGAATAAATACTTTTTTTTTTCTCTGACGATCATTTCTTCTCTACGGTTTAAGAGCATCCTGTATTCCCTCGATGCATTGAGCAATTCTACATTTGACGCTCAATTCAACTTCTAATAGTTGCAACTTCTAATAGTTGCCATGACACGCCAAAAGTTATTTGGCTTTCTGAGAATAGATATAAGGAGAACGTGCCCTGCAGAGCTTTGCGAAATCGATTCTAAGTACTTAAGGAATGTGGAAACAATCTGCCCGACTGCTTAATACAATAAGAAAATGGGATGCAATGAGAAGGGAACGAAGAGAATCAACAAAGATACTTCAGTGACCAGAAGCCATTGATCTGCACAAAAGCAATCTGACCCCAACAGATTAGCGAACACTAGTCAAAGTGGATTCTCCATAGTTCCCGATCACAATCAGTCTTGTACCCAGTCCGGGTATGCAGCATGGCCGTATTGTCACTGACAAGCAGATCACCCTGCTCCCACGAAAACCGCAGACAAACCCGGTAGTCATACGTCAGGTCATCAACCACCGAGACGAGACCCTGCTCGTCGTTCTCGATAGTCACCGCGCAGGTCGAGAACTTGGTCTTGGTGGAATCCCACGGCTGATGCCAGCGCATGCATGGCAGCCCGGTGACAGGGTGCGGCACCACTAGAGGCAGATTCTTCAGCTTGGCATCCCAGAAGCCGTCGTTGTCCATGGCCCAGGTCACCTTCTGCAGCCGCTCCGCCGTCCACGGCAGAGGCAGGTAGCGGAAGAAGAGCCGGGAACTGGCGAAGAGGGTGTACCCGCTGCCCTTGGGTGCGGTGGCGGGGCAGGTGAAGAACTGGTAGCCTGGTGGCCTTTGGACGCGCTTCACCTCGCCAGTGACGGGGTCTGTCTCCTCTTCGAACTTGAACATGCCGTCGTAGTGCATCGGCATCGCCTCGTTGGAGGTGACGTTGTTGCCGAGCTTATCGGTGCGGCCTGCGTCGCGCACCTTTTGGATTATGCCGAAGCTCCAGGGGAGGATGGTGCCGAGCTCGGATGCTTTCTGGACGTATAGCTCTTCTTCGAGGGTTTCTCGGAAGCCGCGCAGGACGACCGGGGAGAGTCCGTTGGAGAGCTGGCGGACTTTGTGCATTGGCAGGTCGCGGATGGATGGAGGGGGCCGCGAGTCGTCAATGTCGCTGGGCCGGATGACGAGACCGCAGGGGTAGAGGTGCTCGAACTTGACCCGCAGGCCGTCCTCGACCCAGTCGAAGAGCTTGGACTTCTCGCGGAAGTAGTATGGCTGGCCGTTCTTGTAGACTAGCTCGTGCGTCTCACGCACATCTTCCGCATGAACGGTGCGGAATGTGCCGTCGGCGCCCACTGCAATCGACGAATGCCATGGTGTGTACCCGAGGGCGCCTCGGACCTGTGGGACGAGCGAGATGGACAGTTTCTTTGCTCCGTTTGACTCGTGGATGGAGAGACGGACGTAATCGGCGCGGTTGGCCTTGATGGCAGCAGCGAACATCTTTCCGCGGACGATCATACTACGGGCAATCTGGGCAATATGAGCCGCTCTGGCCTTTTTGCTTGTATACTGCGTGTCCATTTGAGGGGCCAGGTCCTTGGTCAGAAACTTGATGTACCCGCGATATGTCAGGCAGGTATCATTGTCACTGCGGATGGCCGCATCAGCGTCGAAGTTGCGGTCTTCGAATCGGTACATCAATTCTCGTCGGAGACATTGTGCATGTGCCAGATAGTATGACTTGGCTTGCTCAGCGCTGGTCAGAGGAATCCAGGGGTGCTCGAGAAGCTCGAACAGTCGGATGAATTTGACATGATGAAGCTCCTTCTCAACGGCCATCCGGCGGAGGGCTTCTCCATATTCCCAGACAGTCTCGTCAGGTACCCCCAGGATATCTATTATGGTTAGCATGTTGAAGCCGTAGTGAGTACAAGAGACTTACCATTGTATACGAGCCCGTCCGAGCTGATATATACATCTGCACCTGGTTCGTAGACTCTTCCAATGTTCTCGCACAAGCCGTTCAGATGATATAACGCTAGCTCCTCTCCGAGATCTGGCATCACACCCAAGACCTTGTCTCGAGCATTGGGGGACTTGAAAGGGAAAGCCGGGAGGATCATGCGAACCGGCTCCCGCTTTTTGACTTGCTCAACCACGGTGGGAATGAACGAGGTCAGTCCCTGCCAGGACTCGCCAGTCTTCTCAAAATTCACCCCATAACTTTCGACGACTTTTAAGACAGCAATTGCTGTTGCTTTGTCTTCGGAGATGGGACTGTTCTCCTCTCCATTGGTGGCTTCGAGGGCCTCGGCTAGGAGGTACGGCGTGTCATCCTTGGTCTCTTTGTCCTCATGCTTGGACGTGACTAGGACTGCCTCCTTTGACTCAACAAGCGGATTGTCGCTGCTTTCGGGGGTGGAGACGGTTACAGGAGGAATGTCCAACTCGGTGTTTCCGTTTGCGGCAGGGTGCTCGTGCCGATCAACGTCGCTCAACGGCTGCTGCAGAGAGGACTCACTGAGATGGTGCTCCTCAGTGAGATCCTCAGGAGCTTCGGAGGAGGAGGAGGAAGCAGCGATTTCAGTCGTCTCAACGTTGAGGGCTTTTGTTCCATACGAGCCAAGTAGGTCATTCTCTTGTGGCTCCCCGGAATATGTGACGGCAGCGTCCTGTGGGTTCTGCAGTATGGCGATCATGGTGAACCACGATTGAAGAATGATAATCTATGTAAAGACTGATGAGTTGGTTTCTCAGTTGGTATGTTGTGTACTATGTTGTTGTACTTCCGAGGGTGACTTCGGCCTAGCTCAATCCGTCGGTATGCACGGTTTTATATCTTTCTAGAAAGCAAGAGACAAGGCGAGACGTAGTGAGAAGAACGCATCTTCGTCAGCTATATCATCAATGACGTCGAAAGAGCGGAGGATTCAGAACCATTGTGACATTGTTGACTAACAAGCATCCCTTTCTGTACTTGCGTTTCTCTCATACGCTACGAGCACACCCTCTCTGCTTGTGTTTTGGCAGTCAGCATCATCCATAGCTGAATAATCCCAGTGCGAGAAGAAATCTACAGGAGGCTGAGCTGTATCCGTGCCTTCTGTACCAGGGCATGGCAGTGAAGCTGAACCTTCATCCGATAGAAGCCTCGAAAGAGAACACGAGGTAGCTGACACAGAGCCTTGGGAGATGACAAGACCTGCAGCTGCTTAGGCAGATATCCTCAGCCCTGCCAAACGAGATATCTGCCAGTGCCTTCAAGTCAAACCCATGTGCGCGTCGTCTCACGGCACCCAATGCGGAGCCAAGCGCCTTTGAGGGGTCGGGTCACAGTCAGGCCAAATTCACATTGAACGCTTCAGCTGCTGAAGACGACCCAGTCAGCAGATATGCTGCAGATTGGTGGAACTGTTTGAACTGTCTGTAGGGTTACACGCTCGCCACGTTCTGTACGAGCACAGCATCCAGGGCGAGGCCCTTGGCCAGGGGCGCCGGGCTGTGCCCACATGTAGTAGCAGATACGCAGAGACCGTCTCTCGAGAGCACGATCTCACTGTCTTACTGAAGAGAGGCTGTACCAGGATTTAGGGTCGATCCTGTAGAAATGTGACTCAGGCTGACTCTACAGAACAGGCTGAAAGAAGATTTTCAGACAAAATTTGAATTCCAAAAAACAATAGAGGAGGGTCGAGAACGCATCGAACTCATCCCTCACCAAAAGAACTCTCAGCTAGCTTGTACCGAGTTAGATCACCTCTTCTAAGACTTCTTACTCAGAAGGCTGCCCTTTCCAGTCGTATTCCATCACACGCGAGATAAATGCTGCCATATCAAGGGAGGTCAACTGACTAACGAGATACAAGGATGCATCCAAGCAGCTGCTCACTCCTGCCGCCGTCAGGAGCCTGGCGGACCCAACTTTTAAAACTCCTGCATCTATGTAGCGCTTGTGCGACACCTCGGGAGGAGGAGCCCCTTCTCCATTTACCCGGATGCAGAACTCCCGGAGTTTCTCAATGGCACGATGGTGAGTCGTGACTGGTACCCCAGTCATAAGTCCAGCTGCTCCAATTAGAAACGCTCCGGTGCAAACTGAGAAAAGCACACGCGGTTCATCGGGCGTCTTGGGAGGCAGTGTGGCAAAGCTGCGAATAAGGTCTACCTCCGGGGGGTTGGACGCGACGAGAGCATTGAGAAGAGATGGTGGCCCACCAGGGACAACCATGATGTCGAAATCCGCGAGGCCCTGCATTGCGTCCTCCAGGAGCAGGTCCGTCTGGACCGTGAGGGCCTTCTTGGCGTTCACTGTTCGTGATCGGGCAATGGTGTTGATCTGGAAAACCCTGTCCGGGTTATCCGGGTTTCGGTTGTGGGATGTATGAGTGAAGACTTCCATAGGGGCCGTGAAATCAAGGATGTCTACTCCTTCGAAGAGTAAAACAGCTACCTTGTAGTACTTCTTTGGCGGGGTAGACGACATGGTGAAGGACAACTTCTCGTCTGTTTCAGACTGGGATGCTGATCGTTGAGTGTGGTCAATAATGCGATTCTGACAACCACGAACGCGAATACTCCAAAGACAAGTCTGTTGAACCGACTGAGCTTAGAAAGTAAGGTACTGATCTGATATTTGATCGAGCGAAGGAGTACGAGTGTGAAGGAATTCATCGGCCAGCTGTAAGCTGACACTGCTGACTACATCTGCATGGCCAGTCCAATGAGTCGGGCCATCCCAAGGAACGAACCGCACGAAGAATGATCATCATTTGTGATGATTAGGCAGAATGGCTATAGTCTTGGAGCATAAGGAGTAAGACAAGCAGTCATTGGGCTTGGGTGGTCACTCTGTATTTACGTTCAATTGCTGTCAGGTCTGATCCCATGGCTATACCCTTCAAAACGCAGGAACACTCGTCCGTAAATGAGCTTAGAAGTATTAATAGAACTTAGTAGTAAAAAAATCCGCTAAAGTCCAAATCCTCGAGTGCATGTTGTGTGATTGTCAGTGTAGTCGGTAGTCTAGCTTCAGCGTTTGCTCGTCGCCCAACTGAATCGAGTTCTGCGGAAACAGAATTCGGCGACTCATAAAGGAGATTTGCTATCTTGTAAAGGGCCACATTAATTGATAGCTGTTATAATTGTCAGGTGAGTAATGGTAAGCAAAGGGGTCTTAAACGATGGGAGTTGAAATAGAACAGGAGACAAAAAGCGGACGATGGGGGATGTGGACAGAAACGAGGTACGGTACAACTTCCAGTTCCCTGAAACCTAACGTTTTCTCAACGTTGGATAGTTGTTACCATGGTGCTCACTTCTCTTAATACCCACAACATCAACACAGAGACCGCCATGACTTTGCCAGCTTAGGCCATCACTTCTTCATCAACAACATCCCTTTGGAGTGGCATCATCACCCCAGTATCCTCAAGCCCAATGTGCTAGAGGCAGGCCAGCGTATATTCAGGCGGGCGCTTCTGAACAACTGGAGCAGTGAGTCCCCTCCGCTTCGAAAATATCCAGACAGAGAGATAGCTCACAGTCCTCCTCGAATTGAACAGCCCGCGACATCCAAGGTCTTGAAAGTTCTCTTGGCCGACTCAAGGGCAAAGTCTTCGGAACCACCATCTCCCCTATCGTAACTCTGGACGCGCTGGCCGAACCCCGCGTCTCGCTGCGGAAACACCTCCAGGATGTTGTTGACTTCAACAACGCCATCAGGACGAAGGTCGACCTGGAGCATGACGCGTCCACGGCGCTGCTGAGCGAGCCTCGCGCTTAGGATCTGTTCTGGGGTTGGCGGCAGATGTGTGACGTCTGCGCATCTTGCCAGCATGGTGTGTGACTTACGCACAGGATATGTGCTTGGCATGGGGACGGTGAGTGGACCCGAGGAGGGAGCCATGGATGTTTCCTTGAGATCACGGAGGGCGGGAAGGTGCCTCTGGCGTTGTCGGATGGGTTGCCGAGACACTTCGTGCAGGATGGTGATCTGCCCTCCGCGTTGGTAACCTGAAGCCGGCGAGGGCGGTTCATTAGATGTACATCACTCATAAAAGAAACATTTCAGATCCTTTGTGTGTTGTCATATGATGAAGCTGGCGTGTACAATAGACTCATATTGACTGATATGAAATAAGATTTCGAAAGCAGATTCAAAATGCTAAAACGCGATGAGTGCTCACGCAGTATGGTCCATAACATGGAAGCCATCCAACTGTCGAACCATCAGAACGCCTAACAGACAGACCGTAATCGGAATGACAGATCTGAAAAAATGACACCACAAAACCTGTGCATACCCATAAACCCCTATCAATGCAAAAAAAGACTTAGTATCGTAGGAGAGACTATCATGCTTTTAACATGTTGTCCAACGCATCAAAATCAGCTCCAAAGCGGAGGATGAATGTACTCGGACGCGCGGTCAAGGATAGTAGGTATGGTCCATTCCCCACTCGTGGAACTCTCAGGCGTCGGAGGCGGCAGCGACCCAATGCTAGGTGTCATAGCACCGACAGTTACTGGAGGAACAAGATTGGCTGCGGTTGCTGAACCCGCTGAGGCGTTCCGATATGCTGAGCTGCCATTGTGGGCGGCAGCGCGGTTGCCAAGGAATGCAGCTTCTAGCTTTTCTAAAGCACGGTAGGTCTTGGTTAAAGGCTTAGCCCACTGGGTCTGCGCCTCAAGCGGTATGGGAGCAGACTCTGGAGAGGTCGGGTCAAGAGCAGCAGGACTAGTTCCCGTCATGTTCGCAGCTCCGGGAACTGTATTGTACGCTGTGCCTTCTTCATTGGCGCGTTCGCCGATGATGTTCTTGAGCTGGCGCAACAGGGTCCAAAACTGAGGGTCCGTCTTAGACTCCTCCGTGACTGCTAGAAGGAACATTGAACTGATCGCTCGCTGCAAAGTAATCCAGGAGCGGGACGCATGAGAACTGATTGTATGCATCTCGATGTATGCCTCGACAGTTGTCATCAGATTCCTCACACAGTCAGCGCGCATACTGCTGGTAGTTGGATCGTTCGATTCGGGTGGGGACTTGAGTGCTGGACGCAGCAGCTCGGAAGAAAAGTAGGAAGAATGCAGCTTCAGTACAACTCTTTCCAAATGTTCCGTCGATGAGAGGCAGTACTTGCGGTCACGCAAATGCGGTTTGGCTTCAATCATGATTTGTTGGATCCTCTCTTTATAAGTTTGTATGGTTTTATAGCTCATTTGCGAGTGAGAGCTAAGCATCCGCGAGCGTACGACTTCGAGGGCCAGAGAGATTATGCGGCAAAGAGTTTCAAAGTACGAAAGCTCCCCGGGCTTCGAGTCTTCGCGGTACGCGATATCAGGCTGACTGACGGCGGTGGTTGACGGTCGATCGTAAGAGAGAGAGAAATGACTGTCCTGCCATGCCATAGACCACCTAAACAGCATTAGCAGAATGTTAGAAGCCCTTGGTTAAAGCTGAGAGACTGTACCAAACATGTCGTCTACGGTAGCGCTCCTCTAGTGAGAAGCGACTCGATTCTACATGGAGACCAAGCGCAAGCCCCATACGAAGTGTCATGCCTGACGCCAGTCAGCCACGAGTCCACAGAAAAGATCCCCGGGTTCACTCACCAAGCAAGACATAAGAGATACCTGGGTTCATATTGTACGACAACACGTTACCAATCACCAGCAGAGTTTGAATGGCGTCGATGGTAGGTTGCGATAGGAAATTGGTCATCCGGAGACATTGGTAGGAGCAGCACACTATATTCAGTGAGTAGTGAGTCAGAAAGATCGCGCAAGTGTAAATTCGAAACATACCATAGACTTGAGAAGTCAGTTCTCTCTCTTTTCCAGGCAAGTCAGATGATTGACAGCCGGAAGCCAGCACGGCGAAGAGCAGGCCCAAGTAGGCTATAGTCACACCGAAAGGCCGCTGTGCTTGATCCGTGTCCGTTCGGAATACGCCGCCCATAGATGCTCTACTCCGTAATAAAAGATCGAGATTCATTTCAAACTGCTGGATATCCTCAATGACAGGGTAAATGGCGCCTGCGACGTCCCGATAGTAGAAGAAAAATCTGCCATCTGTTAGCATTCAACGAGGCCCATAGCATCCCAGCCAAAGGTAAAGAACTGACTCCTTGCACTGCTGATCACTTGGAAGCGCACTACAGACTGCGCTAATGTCAAATGTCGACATATCCGAAGACCACAGATCAACGAACGGATATGTAGCGGACTCATTGTCGAGACCCAACTTCGGCAGGATCCCACCCTCAAGGAGCGCCTGGAGCTGATCAGACCCGGACTTGTTGTTGAGAATGTACGCCAGGACGGATCGAGATCCCAAGTGCACAGTGCCTTCGCCCAACGTGTTCGCTGCATGGATGCCCTCCCGTTCCGGAGAAGCAGCCTTGGACCGATTACTCCCATCAGCGCTATGCGCACTGCCCGTCTCCAGGATCCCACCGGGGCCCTCCTCGGCCCGTTCCAGTCCAACTCGTAGGTTCGAAATAGTCTTCTCCATCTCCTTCAGCCTGTTGCGAACATTGTCCCACTCCTCCCGCGCAATGGATATACGGTTCCCCGATCCCAAGGAGTTAATCCGACTTGCCCCGGCTTCCTGCTTGATCCGCAGACGAGGCTCCTCCTGGGCAGCTGACACCGTATGCTCTGGCACACTGGGATGAGAGGCTCCGGCGGGGCTGTCGTTGTATGACGGAGGGACTGAACTCGCTATAATCCTTTTTTTGGACGGCCGCTCGTACGAGCAGATATCGGGATGGTCGCGCTTGACACAGCCGTCGCACGGCAGATTACGGTCGCATTTAACTTTGCGTGCATGGCAGGGATAACAGGCTTTAGGTTCGCGCGCCTTTCGTTTTGTTCGGATAATCGCGTCAACTTGGGACTGCGGGAGGTCGGATACGGATCGGGAGGTAGCGGCGGTCATGTCAGAGCCGGCTGCGGGCGGTGAGAACGACATTGAGGCTGGGTAGGGGGACGCCATTGGAAATATCAAGATCGGCACTCTATTGAGAAATTCCCGAGTGCTATGTGCGTTTCTGTGGCTATAAAGATTCGATGAGAGATCCGGCTGAGCCAACCTCGGAGATCATGGAGCAAAGCGGAGGAGCGGATGCGGCGCGAGATGTATCAATCGACGGCAGCGTCAGGAAGTCAGGTCAAGAGAAATACATCACTTTCCAGTAACAGACCTAGACTTAAATGTTCAAAGCCACAGTCCTCAGCATTCTGCACGGTAGCAGTCGCATCTGGAGAAAGCCGTGGTGCGGGCGGCCTGAGCTGCCGAGTTGGAGAACCCAATGTTACTAAGCAGAAATCAGCACGGCACGTGATTGGCGCGGGGAAGCCCAACCCTAACTCCAAAAGAGGAAAGGGATGACGTCTTGAAACCGCGAACATGAAATAATGATGGCGATGTTCCCAGACCTTTAGCAAATAAGTAACATAGGAGCAAAAGGAATAAAAGAAGTACCTCTCTAGTTGAATAAAATATCTACTAATCTAAATATTGTAATTGGTATATGATATCTATCAATGCTTCCGAAAACAAACCCAGAGGACTCCGCTTTTTTGATATGCCATTTGTATGCCATTCAGATGACCAGAATCGTAACCAAAAAGATAAACCCCAGCAAAACATGCATAATAAACCGAATGGAAATTAGTAAAGAATGTATGGGGATGGAATAACATTTTTCGAAAGTTCGAACCCTAAGCAGGGAGCTATGCATCCGAGATCTCTAGTGCTTCTCTCCTGGTCCCTGCTGCTCCTCGTCGTCGGAGAAGGCAAACTTCGAGTACCGACGGATGGAAGCGCCTTTGAAGTAGAAGACGTAGGGGATCGCGCAGCAAGCGAGGGCAATGAAGGCTAGCAATGAGCTGGCCCATCGGTCGTTCAAGCGGTCATACATCTGCTCCGTAAACAATACTGTGGAAGCACCCCACATGGAACGGAGAAAAGTCTTTGCGGCAAGGGCAGAGGCTGCCTGATGCTGGTATGTATCCACTGTGGTAACAATTAGTACTATACCATCGTTGAGGAAATTGAAGAGAACATACCGAGGTAATTGTTCGCAGAGTTGTACAAGAAGATGAAGCCAAATCCAACGGGGAAGCCACCAATGCAAGGGCCAATCCAGTGGATGTTGGGGTAGGACGTCCAGGCGAAGATAAAGAGACCAATGGGGATAAACCAGCATGAAAGCATCATAGGGATCAGACGCGCTTCAGCTGGAGGTTTTCCACCGTGCTTCTTAACAAGTGTAAGATAGTGCTTGTTGACGAGAGGAGCACAGGCAGCGCTACCCAAGACACCAATGGCCAAAGGGATGAACATCAGACCAGTAGGACCGGAGCCCCATCCCTTTCCTTTTTGGTAGACAATGGGATAGCTAGAAATGGCCTGTCAGTTCAGTCCTCGAAAATACTCGCAAGGCAGTGCCAACTTACGCAACGAAGAACATGTATAGCAAGCCATACAAGACGGACATGTAAATGGCGATGAACAGAACAATGGGTTCCAAAAACAGGAGCTGGAATGGGCGGAGGAGGAAGATACGCAATTTTTCGCCCATGGGGCGCGCGTCCAATTCTGTCTCTGTGACGTACTTCGGATCGTTTTCAGTCTTCCTTAATTTCTTTGCTCTCTTCTGCAAAATCATTGGCGCATAGGTCTCCGGGACAGTAAAAGTAATCAGGACCCAGGCAACAAAGGCCAGAATGAGCTGGATCCAGTAAAGCCATCTCCAACCAGCGTGGCAGAGATAACCACCGACAAGAGGACCGATAGCAGGACCGATGAAAGGGCTGGCAGAGAAGGCAGCCATGGGGACACCACGTTCCTCATTCCTCCACAGATCAGCCAGAGTACCGCCGACCAACGTCATTGGAGCACTGAACGCGATACCATCGATAGCTCTGCAGACGATAAGGGTACCAATATTCTTGGAAACCGCGCAAGGTATGACGAAGATAACCGCAATTAGGAGTGTAACAGCGTAAACAGGCCTGCGTCCAACCATTTCCGAAAGAGGAGCAAACACCATAGGGCCTGAAGTCAGTCAGCATGGGACAAGCTCCCAGTGATTCTGTTCATTGAGACTTACCGACACCAAAACCAATGACGAAGACCGTAACCGTAACAAGACTGGCTTCATGGGAGACATTGAAGGCCTCGGATGGCCCTTCAAGGTCGGCCGTGATCACACTACTGGCGAAGGCGACGACGAAACATGTGAACGAGACGATCATAGTGCAGTACCATTTGTAGGCCTTGGACCAGTTCTTTGGGTTCTCGGGATCATCGACTTTGAATGTGACCAGCTTCCAGTCCTCTACCTTGCCGGTAGCGGAAGATTTGACTGGCTTGATGATCTCTCCCGTCGCAGTCTCCGCGGTGTACTCTTCCATGTTCGCATCATTGGTTACTTGGCGGAGGGGAAGGTCCAGGGGGTCGAACTGACCCTGGCCAGTTCCCAAGGAGAGGGTTCGCGTGGCATCCTGATGGTGTTGTTGGTCCGACATGTCGAGCTATGCACTAGCGACTCTCAGATATCCTGGTTAGGATGGAGATGTAGTACTGAGCAGGGTCGGTAACCGGGAGATACATCCAGGAGGATCCTAGCAAGTACTTATAACCGCTGAGTCGATCCATTTTTACCATTTGAAATCGAACCTGTGGAACCAGTCGGGGAGGGCGGCGGGCCAGATGCAAGAAAGGAGTAATAATGGATCTTTCATTGTCAACATCGTAGAGCATGATACCAAGGACGGCAGCTTGTCCCGGATCTGCCTCGGCGGTCCCTCGGTTGCCCGATCTGGCAGTTGGCCTACTAACCTCTTCAGGCAATATGCCTCGAGGCCACTGCTTTTATCATGACGTCCCGCTGTCAACCATGGGGGCTTTTTTCCATGTCTCTATCTCTCGATACTAGATAGAGTCTAGACTAGAGCCTATACTTGACATTTATTTAGGTAGGCAGACACTCAGCCTACTCAGGGGTAAATATTCTCCCACATTAAAGCATCCCAAATCTGGATGAGGCAAAAACGATGGAAGAAAGGCGATCAAGCGAACATTTGATTGATAGCCTTGTGGCGCAAGTCCGTTCAAGCCAGGCATTGAAATCACCCTCGGACACATTTTTCGATATAACAAGAGAGGATATAAGAGACGGGTGAATACAGCTGTACTTCGTACAGAATGCTGGTTCAACGGAGTGCTCCTAGTGGAAATTCTTCAATCGACATGACCAGTTGTCCCTCTGATACTTAGAACCCATATTCTGTCATTGGAAGTGAGCGTCTCTATCACCAATCTATGCAATCTGCAATTTTTGTTGAAGCTCGGCTCAGAAAGAGCACGAACCACCAAGGTCGGTCAGGAATTGTTATCAGTCACTTATCAGGACTGTTTCAGTGTTCCCTCTCAGTTATGAGCCTGGTCAAGTTACCTGCTTATGGCGAAGTGGGTCTGATTAGCTTGCACTGTGTATTCTGGACCTTGGGCACCAAATCATCTAGATCTATGGAACCCCATTATTGAAAACAATGTTGCGCATAGTCGGAGGGCTCCTCACATACTTAAGAGCTCATGTCTTCCTTTTAAAGACATCCTAGAGAACTGAGAGGACTATCAACCCTAAAAACTGTGTAGGTTACGAAGCAACATCCTATGTTTGACTGTTTCTTGGCAAAAGTCATAGATATGGAATATGACAATTATCCAGCCTGTAACTAAAACAAAGTTTTCAAAGACTGGCATAACTGCAATTATGTTGTCATTATACCTAGTATTACTCGGCCATGAATGTTGGCGAGAAAATTTGCTGCCAAAAGAGCCACCACCAAGGAAGCTCCGCCGCCAGTAATTCTTGGCATCGGACGGTTGATGTGACGTCGGAACGTTTCTCCCAATATGGCAAAGCGGGTTTGCCTTCCTTAAGAGGTAAATTATGTCTTCGAATAAGTCATGCATTCGCTCGAGTAAGTTATGCGTCTTGTCATTATTATCGAATAATTATTGGAAACCCTTGGCTTTTGTGATCAAGCCTCAAAGGCATATAAGTCGCACGCAAGGTTTGAAGTGAGGTCTGTGCTGGATATTCGGAATCATGGTTAAATTCAATACCCTGTGAGCCTGTGGTTGATAGATCGACAGTCAAAGCCGATGATCTAGCCCTTTGTGTCTGTACCGCCACAAGATTCATACTTTCTTCCGAATCTAACAAGATATAAAACATGCTTTGCTTTGCATATCATCTCATTGCCTGGTATTCTCTTGTCGAGAACACTTTGTGTATTAGAAGACCGGTTCTGCTTCCCCATGTCTCACCCATCTCCACTAAATGATGCGGGATAGTGGACACAAACGGAGGATCTTCTCAGTGCCATGACCGTGGGCTTCTATAGTAACAAACTCACTTGGCGCTCTGAGTCTTGGGCACTAGACATTGAGCAAGATGCAAATGATGCCGACTCCTAAGATGTAACCCATGAGCTTTAATTTCTTAACAGGAGGAAGACATGCTGAATCCTGAGGCATCCTCTGGCCCAGGTTAGTCCGAAGGAGTCACATGACTGATAAGCAGAGAGCGTTGGGAGATAAGCCGGAAAGGGATTAGCGCGGGGTTGGAATTTCGACGCCTCCCAAAAAGAACTCGAGTTGACTCAAATGTGTAATTTTACGACGGCCAGCAGCTCAACGCCCCGTCGCTGTGGTGCTCCAGCCGATTCTTCTCGTTAGAAGTGTCTCTTTGGCACTTCTGTGAAGATTTGAATCACATATCCGTCTTTCTCATCTTCCTGTCTCCCTGTCTTCCTCAGGTTCGCCATCCTGTTGTCCGCGGAAGCGAAAAAAATACTAACAGGAGGGGACAAAAGGTGCCACTTCACAATGGCCTCCACATCCACCAATTCCACATACTTGGCCATCCCAGGCTCGGTTGCCTTCTCACACTCTCGTGGACGGGCAATTGCAGCCAGCATCGGGGCCCAGGATGTTCGAGCTCAGTGGATCCACTACGTCCACGCTGAACGACCTTTGGATGCTCAGCAACAGGGCGTCTTAGAGCAGTTGCTCCGTTACGGCGATATCACCGATGTTCCCGCCTCATTCGGTCCCGAGGACGGTTCTTTCGATGTCTTCTATGTCTTTCCCCGCACTGGAACGATTTCCCCTTGGAGTTCCCAAGCTACTGGTATCTCGCATGTTTGTGGCTTGCGTCAGTACGTGAAGCGCATTGAGCGGGGTATCAAGATCTCATGTCTTCGTGAGAAGTCACAAGAGTTCAAACCTGGTTTCGAAGATGTTCTGCATGATCGGATGACCCAATTGCTCAGCCAAACCGAGCCCGACCTGCACCTGATGTTTTCCGAACATGCTCCTCAACCCCTCGAGACGATCCCCCTTCACGGCAGCGACAAGTCTCCCAAAGAAGTACTACAAGAAGCGAACAAACGGCTAGGGTTGGCATTGGAACAATCGGAGATTGACTATCTCGCTGATGCTTACGGGCCCAATGGCCCTCTCGCCCGTGACCCTACTGATGTCGAACTGTTCATGTTCGCTCAGGTCAACTCGGAGCACTGCCGTCACAAGCAGTTCAACGCCTCCTGGGTTATCGATGGCAAGCAGATGCCAAACAGTCTCTTCGCCATGATTCGCAACACGCATAAAAAGCACCCCGAACACACCGTTAGCGCCTACAGTGACAACGCCGCCGTACTTGAGGGACCCAACGCTGCATTCTGGGCTCCCGACCCATTCACCGGCGAATGGAACCACACAAAGGAGGTCGTCCACTTCCTGGCTAAGGTCGAAACTCACAACCATCCCACTGCCGTCTCTCCTTTCCCTGGCGCTGCCACCGGCTCGGGTGGAGAGATTCGTGATGAGGGTGCAGTCGGCAGAGGCTCCAAGCCCAAGGCCGGTCTTGCTGGATACTGCGTTTCTGATCTCCTGATTCCGGATCTGAAGCAGCCTTGGGAGCTCGATGTTGGCAAGCCCAACCACATTGCGAGCAGCTTGGACATCATGCTGGAGGCTCCCATTGGCAGCGCTCACTACAACAATGAGTTCGGTCGGCCCTGTACACTTGGATACTTCCGTACTCTCCTCACACAGATTGACGTCGGTAGCGGACAGACTGAGGTTCGTGGTTACCACAAGCCTATTATGATTGCTGGCGGCGTTGGGACAGTCCGACCACAGCATGCTATCAAGAAACCCGAGACCGTCAAGCCCGGCTCCTACCTCGTTGTTCTGGGAGGTCCTGCCATGCTTATTGGACTGGGCGGAGGCGCCGCTTCCAGCATTGCGTCTGGTGAAGGATCTGCCGACCTAGACTTCGCTAGTGTCCAGAGAGGCAACGCTGAAGTGCAGCGGAGAGCTCAGGAGGTTATCAATGCTTGTGTGGCCATGGGGGAGAACAACCCCATCAAGTTCATTCACGACGTTGGTGCCGGTGGACTTTCCAACGCGCTTCCCGAGCTGATTCACGATTCCGGCCTCGGTGCCACGTTTGAGCTTCGTGAGATTGATAGCGCTGACAAGAGCATGAGCCCCATGCAAATTTGGTGCTGTGAAGCCCAGGAAAGATATGTCCTCGCAGTTGGCGAAGAAAGCATGAACAAATTCACCGCCATCGCTCATCGTGAGCGTTGTGGTTTCTCGGTTGTTGGCCGTGGTGAGGGTGGCTCTGAGGAGGACAAGAGACTCATCCTCCTTGACAGAGACTCCACCGAGTATCCCAAACCCATCGACCTTCCTTTGTCAGTTCTCTTTGGCAAGCCTCCTCGGATGACAAGAACTGTGGACTCCCGCAAACTGAAACTCCCCGCCGTCGATGCCAGCCTTACCAGCTACCTTCCTTCCCTTGCGCCGAACCGCGTCGAGCTGATTAGCGAGGCTGCGAACCGTGTCCTTTCCTTGCCTGCTGTAGGCTCCAAGTCTTTCCTGATCACAATCGGCGATCGCACCGTGGGTGGTCTTACTGCTCGGGACCAGATGGTTGGAAAATGGCAAACCCCCGTCTCTGACGTTTCCGTCACGGCTACTGCGTTGGTTCAGGGAATGAAGACTGGTGAAGCTATGGCCATGGGTGAGAGGCCAACTCTTGCTCTTATCTCTCCGGCCGCATCGGCTCGAATGGCAGTTGCGGAGTCCCTCATGAACATTGCTGCTGCGGACTTGGTCGACCGCCTGAACCATGTCAAGCTTTCTGCCAACTGGATGTCCGCTAGTAACCACCCCGGTGAGGGAGCCGCTATCTACGAGGCAGTTGAAGCTATCGGTATGGACTTGTGTCCTAAACTTGGCATCAGCATTCCTGTTGGAAAGGACTCCATGTCAATGAAGATGAAGTGGACCGATGAAGTCACCAAGGAGTCCAAGGAGGTCACTGCCCCTATGTCGCTTGTCATCTCTTCCTTCGCGCCCGTTGGCGATTTCCGTAAGACCTGGACACCGGCCCTCCGCAGTGTTGAGGATGTCGGTGAGACCGTTCTGATGTTCGTTGATCTCTCGTTCGGCCGAAAGACCTTGGGCGGCTCAGCCCTGGCTCAAGTCTTCAACCAGGTTGGAGATGAATGCCCTGATCTCCGCGATGTGGAGATCTTTAGGGACTTTTTCGACGCTACTCAGCAGCTCCAGGAGGCAGGCATCGTTTTGGCCTACCACGACAGGTCCGATGGTGGTCTCTTCACTACTCTGGCGGAGATGATGTTTGCCGGACGCTGCGGTGTGGAAATTATGTTGGACAACATCTGCCCCACCAACAGCACACAAGATCTTGTATCGACCCTCTTCACGGAAGAATTGGGTGCGGTCTTCCAGGTGCGCAAAGAGCATGAGATTCAGTTCCGCTCTTGCTTTGCCACCTGCGGACCCCCTGCTGGCCTGATCCACAAGATCGGTCGTGTCTCCGAAAGGCCGAAGCAGAACCTCGCCATCTACCACAAGGCCAGTCTTGTATACCGCAACAACCGCGCAAACCTCCAGCAGACCTGGGCTACTACCTCGTATCACATGCAGAAGATCCGTGACAACGCCGCCTGCGCGGAACAGGAATTCTCGAACATCCTGGACGATACCGACCCCGGTCTGTCATGGAACCCCACCTTCGACCCCAAGGACCGGGCCGTGCCCCTTCTCACCAGCCTCAAGTCTCCCTTCAGCAACAAGCCACGTGTGGCTATCTTGCGTGAGCAAGGTGTTAACAGTCAAGCGGAGATGGCCTTTGCCTTCAATGTGGCCGGGTTCTCTGCCGTTGATGTCCACATGACCGATATTATCTCTGGCCGCGTCTCACTGTCCAGCTTCGTCGGTCTTGCCGCCTGTGGTGGTTTCTCCTACGGTGACGTTCTCGGTGCCGGTCAGGGTTGGGCCAAGTCAGTCCTGCTACACGAGAATACCCGCACAGAGTTCCAGACCTTCTTCCAGCGTCCCGACACATTTGCCCTCGGTGTCTGCAACGGTTGCCAGTTCCTCTCCCGTCTGAAGGAACTGATTCCTGGCGCATCCAACTGGCCTAGCTTCGAACGCAACGCCAGCGAGCAGTACGAAGGTCGTGTCTGCATGGTCCGTATATCGGATCCAGACCCGGCCAACCCCAGCGTCTTCCTCCACGGCATGAACGGCTCCTCGTTGCCTATCGCTGTCGCTCACGGAGAAGGTCGCGCCTCGTTCGCGGCGGCTCCCGGAACTTCCGCTCAGGATTTCGTTCGTCAAGGCTTGGCCCCCGTCCAGTACGTCGATAACGCCACTCTCAAGCCCACAATGAAGTACCCATTCAACCCCAACGGTAGTCCCGAGGGTATCGCCGGTATTCGCAACGCCGACGGCCGTGTCCTGGCCATCATGCCTCACCCCGAGCGGACCGTGATGGGCGGTATTGCCAGCTGGCTGCCTCCTAATGCTGAAGAATGGGGTGACATTGGTCCATGGGGCCGTGTGTTCTTCAGCGCCAGAAGATGGGTTGGTTAAACGTGCGGATTTCGTTTGCGACTTGCCTTTCTTTTTCTCTTGTCTGGTCCAAGATTGGGGCGTGATGTGATGTACAGCGAAAACCAAAACTGATCGGGAGGGTACTTTTTCTTGGTATATAAAATCATCTACACGTTATGTTCTGCATGATGAGTCCGAGGCCTTAGGATGATCAAATCAAATTCTTATGATGAATTCAACAGGGATTTCTCAACATTTAATTACGGATTGCACCCCTTGAGTAAGCCATATCGCTCATATTCTATCATGTAGACCTCCAAACCATTGAACAGCAAAACAACATGGATATCATAGCAAGGTATCATATCATTAGTAGAGTCATCGCGCCTCATTTTATAAGAACAAGACCGGCACTAAACAGCCAAACGCTTCTTACGCCACTCTAGCTTCTCAGCTAGGATCTCCCAACTGATCTGACCATCCACGCGCCCCACACCCTTCAAACCAGCGGCCAGAAATGCAAGCAACTGGTCAAAGTGGCCTTTGATGTCCCTCAGGCGATGCGCGTAGGGTGCTTCGTAAAAGGAAATGCTGGTGGTATTGCCAACATCCTCGTCCGACTCGTCTTGTGTATCGTCGTCATCGTCATAATCACTTCGTACCGCGTCGTCGGTGTATGTATCCTGATGCTTCCTGCTGAGACTCTTTCTGCTTTGCGAAAATTTGGCGTATTTGGTCGGCGTTCTCTGATCGGACAGCTTGTCCCCGTAGCGTGTGGCTTGGATGTCTGCAAAGTACACGCAGAGATCTAGGAGGTTGATTGTGGCTTGATGGAGAGGTGATAGATTGCTGGAGAGGAGGCACTGGTCTTCCAGTGAGGACATGTAAGCGCGATGCGCTGCGATCATGGCGTCGACGTCCTTGGTGGCGGAGAGGGACTTGCGCAATAATTCTGTCGCTGTGGAGATGACAAAGTCCGTGATGTGGCTGTAGAGGGTGTTCAGGAACCAGAGCATGTGGTGCCGAAGAGAATAGCTTAGTGCGTTGCTGCTCCTGTCATGGGAGTAATCGTCCGTCTCATTGGTATGTTTCAAACGCTGCTTTACGATCAAGTGCTTTGCTCGGCGGATCTGCATCAGGAATGTCGAGATGCGCTGGTAGCGTTGGATGGCGTCTTTGGGGATGATGTTCGCGATGGGCCAGGGGAGGATGTAATCGAATGAGATGGTTCTGAGGGACTTGACTGAGCGGCTGCGCCCTTGCGGATCCTGGTGCGAGCGGACAATTATTCTTGAGTGGTCGATGAAAGACATGCTGCTAAACGCGCTCTGTGCGAGTTCGGTGAGGAGATACCTGTCGCTCCAGGCGCCTCTGCCGCGATCCATGAGGTCAAAGACCTTGTTGTCGATAATAGCGGACACACTGAGGTCCTTGCAGAGGTAGATGTGTTCCAAGGCTTGGAGTGATTTCCACAGCCCGCATTGCTGGTCAAGCTCTTTTCGTAGCAAATCGGACGCAAAGGAGTGGTTAGCCTCCACGAGCTTGTCAATAGCGGACTCACATATGGCGGCAAAGGGAAGGCAGAGTAAGGAGCTTGAGTCATCACCATAGATACTTTCCAAGGTAAGTGGAATCGTCTTCGACTCTTCGAGAGTCTCCAGAGCATTCAAGTGTTGTAGAAAGACCATGCTTTTACCCGCGGTGAAGATCTTTTGAGCAACAGGTCTTATAAATTGTGGAAGCCCAAATGAGTCGTCCACAGCATACCATTCGCGCCAAAGGGACCGCAGATCTTTATCGCCACGTTGGTCTATGATGAAAGATATCCCTTCTCTTGAATCCAGTCGTCCCTCCTCAATCCAACGACGAATAGGACGAATGTAGGTTCCGAGACATGAAAAGAACAAGTTTGCCAGAAATCTGAACTCGTCATCGTCCCCTGTAGCTTGCTTCATGCATACCACATCGTACAATAGGTCAAGACACCGTACACCGTTGTCTGGAGAGTTATACTTGAGATTGGAGATCAAATCGGCCAGAAGCACGAGCATCGCTGATGCGCTGCGGACGTCTTCGGCCAGTTGTAGTAGGCTGACGGAAAAAGTGGCTCCCTGCGAAATGCACTGAGTTTGCACTTCCGACAAACACGCGTCGAATTGGTTCAAGCAGTCCTCAACACATCGGTGAAAGGTTTGCATATAGGGAACAACCTGGGTGATCTTGATGAAGCGTCTTATAACATCTACCTTGGCGCCAATCATGCTAAATGACCGCAAAAGCGAGGACAGGGCCTCGGCCGAGGTGTGTGTAAGAGCATACCGTCGATCGACCTCGATGTTGTCATCGAATCGCCAAAAAAAAGACGTAGGCAAACCCTGCAACATAAACAGTGTTTCTCTTACAATTTGAAGCTCCGTGACCACACGGCAGGAAAGCTTTTCGACTTGGTTGGGTTCTGCATGCTTCTTAGGCCTCCAGAATTGTGCCTCCCTAACGGAATCCACAAGAACCACATCGGTCCCAGGAGAGAAGACTTCATCAGGAATTTCATAGTCTTCTTCGGAGGCAACGGGACTGGAAGGAAGGGTCTGCGGGATTGAGGCCTCACTGCGCCCCGAAGACACAAGATCATCATCTTCTTCGGATGAGGAATCTGCATCAAAGTTTACACACTCCCAGATATCTTCATCACAATACGCGGATCCCGAAGCATCCAACTCCGTCCAGGAGAGTTGCTTCGCGTCTTCATCAACCTTGGGCTTTGGGAGTCGGTCTACCCGCGAGAACACAGCAGGGCGAGAAGAGAGCTGTAAAAGGAAAGATAATATTTCGGGAAACCAGGAGCTATGGTGTTCATCTAATTCAGTCAAGCGACTCCGGAGTGCGTCCGCGAGATCATCTCTATTGAGAACCTGGAATTTCTCCTGCAGGCCCTCTAGCTGTTTTGAGACTGCAAACTGGTCAGTCCGGCCATGAGAGGCGGATTTTAGCGTGTCTTCGACACGATGCTTTAGATGTTTGAGTCGTGATGTATTCTAGATGCTAACATTAGCAACAGCGGAGCGCTCAAAGCAATGACAGTACCCCATACAGTAGGATCGATCTTTGTGATAGCCAAAATTAGCTCATCCGTTAACACACCAATATCCTCGGGGAGAGTCATGTCGACGCGTGTTGCATTTGCAACAAGTAAGCGTAACAATTGGAAGTCAGGAGAAATATTCCCCGAGGATCCCCCATCGTTGTTTCATCGACAACCCCTTCTGGTGGCTCCTAGGACCTTGGATCGAGCCCCGGGTTACGCGGCATCCAGGCTTGTAGACGTCAAGACGAATGTCTCTCTCCGCCTGCTCCGTGAACGTGACGTGTTGCTTATTTATTGTCACGCTATCCTTCTTTGGGATAAGCGGCATCTGGTCCAACAGAGATAGAGTCGCCAGAGGAGGGAAGAAGTCGACGACAGCAGCCAATTTTTCTCGTACTTCCCCCTGGCTATCGGTTTTCGCAATCTAGCAGTCAAGATGGCTGTGGCGAGGCCTATACGCATGATAGGTGCAGCATGCATTCTACTGTGTCTCTTTCTGATCTTTCAGGTCAACCAAAGTCACGGCCCATCCTTCATTAGTAAGGGGTCAAAAGAGTATAATGGCATGAAGAGAGATCCCCTTTTAGATCGTGAGTCTCACCTGGGTTTCTCTGGAATCCTTGCTTAGTACTTGTCTTTTCAATTCCGCGACTCTCGCACTTGCTGATGGAATCACCTTTACAGCGACCGGCGAACCCGAAGGTCATTTATGGCGAGCCGATGGCAACGACTACGCCCCCGACAGCGCCCATTCCGCCCGCACGAACGCAGCTCTCATTTCCCTCGTCCGTAATGAAGAGCTGAACGATCTTATTCCGACGATGAAAGACTTGGAGCGGACCTGGAATGGCAAATTCAATTACCCCTGGATCTTCTTCAACGACAAGCCCTTTACGGAGGAATTCAAAAAGCGCACACAAGCAGAGACGAAGGCCAAGTGCTATTATGGTATTTGCGCCCAATCTTATTTCTACTCAATGAAAGGAACCTAACACAGTGTCCAGAGCAAGTGCCAAAGGAACACTGGGACCCTCCGGAATGGATCAACATGGAACTCTTCCGCGAGTCTGCGGCGATTCTGACTGAGCAGAAGATCCAGTACAGCGACAAGCTCTCGTATCATCAAATGTGCCGGTGGAACAGTGGCATGTTCTACAAGCATCCCGCTCTTAAGAACTACAAGTACTACTGGCGTGTTGAGCCGAAGGTTCAGTTCTTCTGCAACGTTGATTATGATGTGTTCCGATTCATGGAGGATAGAAACCTCACTTATGGTTTCACCATCAATCTTTTCGACGATCCCAAAACTATTAGCACCCTCTGGCCACAGACTAAGAAGTTCCTGGCTGCAAACCCTTCTTATCTCTCCAGCAACAACATGATGGGATGGTTGACGGACGACTCACTGCGGCCAGACCACACGGAGGCGGCGAACGGATACTCTACCTGCCACTTCTGGTCGAACTTTGAGATCGGCGACTTGGATTTCTTCAGAGGAGAGCAGTACGATGCCTATTTCAACCATCTTGACCGTGCCGGTGGTTTCTTCTACGAGCGATGGGGCGACGCTCCCGTTCATTCGATCGGGTTGGGACTGTTTGCGGACGCAGCCAAGGTTCACTGGTATGTTGTTACTTGATCGAGCCGACGCTCAAAGCTAACTTTCACTTTCTCCCCCAGGTTCCGAGACATTGGATACAACCACATTCCCTACTACAACTGTCCCAATTCACCCAAATGCTCTAAATGCACCCCTGGGCAATTCTATGCGGGCGCACCCTTCCTCGCCAAGGAAGACTGCAGACCCAGCTACTTCAAGCATGTGGGAATGCATTAACCCATGAAAATGTTTCTTTCTTAATTCTTGAAGATTCGTCATATGGCATGCAATGTTGTATAACTGCAGAGGCAGCTGTCATGACCCATACCATATATCATACCCAACATTGATGACGATGAGTGCTTGAAAACTTTCTTTTCAAGATCATAGTGGCGTTCCCAGGGGGTGGTTCTGAATTTCTTGTTGTATTTTCTTTGTCTTAATACTTGTCATTTATATGTCAGCCGTGTGTTGCTACCTTGAGAGGATCGCTGGACCGGCCTTCATTGTACCTATATTCTTATATCCAAATCGATCTCCATGTACTAAGAAATTAATGGGATTTGGCATCAAAGTCTTTCTTAGTTTGTTTTTGTCGAATGTACATCTTGAGTTCGGGCCTTTACTTGGTGACAGTAGAAAAAGGACAACCTCTCAGATTCCTTCGCTATCCTCAATAGTACAGAGTACACGCAAATGTCACAAGCTTTATAATAGTAGCACTGGTATAGAAAAGCACATGTGCACCTCCATTCACCCCCGAGTCGACAGGCACCAGGTCAGAAATGGATAATTAAGCAACCAACCGGACCGTGGAGACCTTCTCCAACTGTATTCTAAGGTATGTATACAGCTTTCCTATCTTATCAACTTAACAAAGAGACAGAGTTCTTGTGGGTGTTTTGTCTGGAACAAACGCATCTATTCCTCGTTGGGGTAGAGCTCCTCCCGCAGAGAAACACCGAGCTCCTGGCGCAGACCCTCCAGGCTCTCGAGGTACTGCTTGTACTGGTCCTGAGTCTCAACCTTGGCCTTGATACCTGTTGACGTACAAATACATGAGTGTCTGTGTGTATAGAAGAAAAGAAAGAGGCGCACCTTCAAAAACCCGGACGGCAGTGGGGAAGTCGTTGACACGGCGGGCAGCCCTCAGGGCAGCGGAGAGGACCTCAACGGAGGGGACGAGATCATAGGCAAAGCAGTTGTTGAGGTTACGCTGTAGCGGATAATTGATCAGCGTCACATATCATGGAGACGAGAGAAGACTCTGCGAATTGCTACTCTTCATCATATGATTTCGAGAGCGGATGGTGATGTGACACGAATTTGCCGTATGTGCGAGAGGGTCAGGTCAGGCTTACCTGGAGTTCGAAGACATCCTGAACGCCGTCGAATTCCTTCTCGAATCTGTCCAATGCCGAGTCAGTGTGACAATTTCCCAGAATTAACCGGCTGCTCGTCCAAGTCGGGAATCGGCATCACAAAGTATTATCCGATCCGGGGGAGAAGTTCCCTGCGATCGCCCTTTCATGCCTTTCCTTGCTCAAATCGCACCCAATGGCTGGCTAATGGTGGTAGCATACCTAGCAGAGAACTCCTCGTATGTCTCATCCTCGTGGGCACCGGACAGACGCTTGGTGGTGGTGCTGAAGCTAGGACGGCTAAGGGCGAGAGCAGCCGGGACCTTCACGCGGGACCGGGGGAATTGGGGAGCTCTGATGAGGCCGGAAGGGCGGACGGCGCGTGTCGCAACACGGAAGATAGACAGGGACGCCATTGCGAGAGGAGTGAAATGGGAGGGGAGGGTGGTTGAATAGACGTGCTTTTTGGGTGGAGTGGAGGACGACGGCAAGACGTAGACGAGGTTGGAAGTCAGAGGACAAGCCGGCTGCCGCTAGGATTTTGCGGGTGGTGTGAGGTTGTGGATGCCTCAGGTTTTCTCCGGTCGCTGTCATGATTGACCACACCTGGTCCATTTGCGGCTCCCGTGCATGCCCGACGCTGTAGCTGCCTCAGGCATCTAGGCTGTTTACCGGCTTTGATTGCATTTTGTTATTTCTGATTGGCCAGAACATGGTCAATGCAATTGGGGTATCTGATTGGTCAATTGTTATATCATCAGTTTTCAGTCGCTGGGCAGTTGCTGATGGACGAGATCTTGATTACTTTGACTACGTCAAAATCCTCAGTGCTGACCATGGTTATTCGGCATTGAGTTGATAACTTTATTCACCGTTCTACCATATGCAACAATTAGCAGCATCAGCCTTTCCAGTGTAACTACCGTGTGAGTTGTAGCCTTATTCCGAGAACAGACCAGCAATTTCACATCTAGAGAGGTAGATGACTAGTGGAAACCATCAAGCTATCGCCTGTATGTATGTCATCCGTCGCATTATTGCTGATTTCCAAAGATTAGTCTTTCCCCTGGCAGAAACGAACCAATCAAAGCGTCTTTGTTGAGTTTCATTGCTCTGTCGATGCAGCTGCCCGCGGACAAGACCAGCCCAGCTGCAAGAATATGTTCAACAGCATAGCCGGATTGATACGCACTTTGACCACCACGGAACGTGTCACTGGCTATCATTTGGCCTGAACGCTGGATGTCAGTTTGAAATACATGCTGCCTCCTTTGGGAATCTAAAATTTTGGGTTACTCCAGTCTTCTGATCAACATTTTGCTGCGTCGACGTTTCGTCAGAGGCGAAACACTGCATGTCTCAAGTCCACTATGGCCCAGCCAGAAGCCGAAAATACAAAAAGGTCCAGTGTAGTAACTCATTGGATACTTCAAGTAATCAATGCAACGAATGTGTAGTAGGAGTCGAACATCAATGGATGTAACATATGGCCTAGTCCGTTCCTCCTACTCCGTACTTCGCAGTCATTTGGCCATTGAAACCTAGAGTGCAACATAAGCATCACATCGCAAGCCTCTTTTTTAGCTAGTCCGGGTTTCCTTTAATTCTCGATCAGCTAACATGTGGATATCAGCTTAAACCAGAAAACAAGTCGCCCCATTGTTGAACGAGCTCAAAGTTTCTACCATGGTACTACCGTCGACTCTCTTTTTGTGCTACTTGACCAGTCATGGCAGTCAGTTCTCAACTGTAGGAGAGCAATGATATTGAGAACGCCAAGATAGCTTCAACCAGTTGAAATCGAGTTTGTTTCAGTTTCGACTTTTCTTTTGCACTATTGTTTGTGATACTTGGCAAATCGAGCATGTGAAAGCCGGCTTGATGTGTGGTTCGAGACGACTGATCCCCGTGCTCCTTTATGATATCAACCGAATGGGGATCAATAGCGAAAGTGACACTCCAGGAGTGGGATCAATGGACTGATATAAATACCTTCTTCATCCTCACTACGCATATGGACACAGAAGATGCAGAATCTACATAAATAATACTTATGATTTTGCGTGCTGCATACACGCGGAATCTCGGAAGCACATGATCCGCTAAGAGAGAAACCT